ACCATGAATGGCACTGCCTACCACCATCTCAACATGGAGTCAAGTGTCCCCGCTCTGCCAGTCGGCATCTTGCTTAGTCTTTTCTCTTCGTCTTTTCTCTCCTTCCCCACCCCATTCATCATCGCTCTGTTGCTCGCAATCTCTATAAATTGTTGAATCACTTTCTTCACCTGGTGTCCCCGTTCCACTTCCTCGTTGTTTGTGAGGCTCCTCCACCCCACCCCCAGCTCCCTCTGTTGCCGTGGTTTCACTGATTATTCAACTTTACAGTTCAAACAATGTCGGAGCATTCCATGGCTTTGGTTTCAGCAATTGTTTCACTGGGAAAATTCACATTTACACTCCACATTTCCCACAGAAGAAACGTCTCGAAGCTCTTTACAGAATGATATATAACAGAATAATGATCCTTGAATTTGCTATAGCGCCTTATCACGTCGATGAGACATCTCAACACGCTTCACAGAATGTAAAGTGAATTGACTGTATATTTTGTGGACGAAACGCAGCAGCCAATTGTGCACAGCAGTGTACTACAAACAGTTGTGGTTTGAGTGACCAATTAGTTAATTATTTTTGAAGGGATTATTAACCCTGGAAAGCAATCTGCCAATTGACAAACAACTGGATTCCTACTTACTGCTAAGTAAACAGAGGCATGTGGAGTGCCTAAGGTTTCGCCCAGCCAGGGAATCGATCCTTGATATTAACAATCTTATTTATAATGAACAATACCGGAGGCAATCTGCACCAGCAGAGGTCCACAAGCAAGATGAGTGATCAAAATACGATTTTGGGGGGAGGGGGAAATGGACAGAGGGGAATATGGGTCAGGACACTGACAATTAAGCTTACAGGTGGAAAAATGAGATGAGTAACCAAGTAATCTTGTTCGGATTGGGGTTTAGGGTGAATTTGAATTGGGGGGGGGGGCAATATAAACCAGGATATCCAGACGAAAATCTCCACATTTCTTTTAAATAGCAGCAGGGGAGGACAAGATGGGAGTAGCATTAGGTAGAGGAGAGTTGATCTCCACTGATGTGCTGAGGGATAAATTATAGGTTCCTGTCATTGAAAGTACATGGTATTTTTACCGTGCAGTCACTCAGTGCACTGGCATGCTCCCTCCCTCTACCTTTTTGAACCCTTGATATACGTTGGAACTCTCACCCTCAATCCCTCTGCCTTGCTCCCTTTCCCCTTTTTCAGATGCCTGAAGAGCTTCCTCTTTGACTGTGTTTACAGTCACCTCCTTCCTCGCCGACTTAGTGTCAGGCTCCTCCACTATAAAACGCACCGAGACTCTACCCAATAGGGAATGTGAGCTGGTTAGTTTTACCCTACTGATATCAATTGCCTCCTCCCACACACACACACACACCTCACTTTCCCTAAAACACACTGTTACTGAACAACTGTATTTAAAAATTCAAAACATTAGACTTAAGGGCCCAGATGTGAACCCTGTAAACTATTTGGAACAAATCCCTTGAAAAAAGCTCTTCGAATCGATTCTGTACATCCAGAGATTCAGAATATTCACTTTGTATTATGTTAACTCTGCAATGTTAATACACAACTATGTATATATAACCAGTATATATAACCTTGGCAGGTAAAGTAATAAATATGTAATCCTTGCATTTTTTGCAGCACCTCAACAACTCAAAATGCAATTACTGTCAAGTGCAGTGACTGTGTATTTGAAGGCAAATGGCAATAGCTCTACCACTGAGCTACCACTGAGCTACCGGAGTCCTCGTAAGTGAGAGTCCTGGGTTTGATTCCCGGCAGGACGAAACCTTGGGCAAGTTTCCTTACTCCACAAGCCTGATAATAAACCCTCAAGAAAAAAAACAATAATAAAATTGGTCATTTCCATCCACGACTGTTTGTGGGACACTGCTGCGCGCAATTGGCTGCCGCATTTCGCGCAAATATACAGTCAGTTCACTTTACAATATATTCTGTGAAGTGCTTTGAGACGTCTAGAACACGTGAAAATAATATTGCAAGAATTATTATTATTACAAATGCAGTGGCCAAATTGCACGCAGCAAGGTTCCACGCATCACCACAAAGTGAATGAATAACAACCAACGTACCTGAAGGAATGTTGGACAGTATCATGGGATCTCATGTCCACCTCAACAGGCAGACAAGACCTCAATTTATTATCTCATCCCAAGAACAGCTCCTCAATCAGTGCTGCCCCATAGATTATAGCCTGTACTGAACACGCAAGACCAAACATGGAGCTTGAACCAAAACATTCTCACCCAAAGATGTGAGTGTGATAGACTGAGCCTGACACTTGTGTGCAACGATATGCTGTAACAACAGAAGGACAGCTCCTGTACATATTACAACTTTGAGAGAACAGAGGAAGTGAAGAGATTATTAGGTGACTGAAAGCTGAAGAACAAAAAAATAATTTATAAGGAATTTTAAAAAGGAGGGAAGAGAAAAGGATCGATGGAAGTGGAGAGCTTTGAAGTTTGGCAGTGTTGAAATGTCAATTATGCAGCTGTTTAGAAGCTTCACATAACAGAACACCAACAGCAAATGGCCAAATCTCCCAGGCTGGTCACCCCACCCAACGCATGTGGTGAATCGCATCCCTGTGACAGAACTCAGGCCTTAATCTCCTGGCCAGCAGCATTTGACACACACTGCCATATGTTTCATGCCACTCCCTGCTCAGACACACACAAACCAAAGAACACTGAGGCCCAAGATCAGAAGCATTTGGGTTTCACAATACCTCCCCATCCCTGGAGCTCTTCAATCCCAAATCCCTGTGCCCGCTCTCACTGCCTTCTATACTTTCTTAAAAACTGATCGCTTTGTCCGTGCTTTTGCTCATCACCCACAAACTTTCACCACTTTTGGCGATTCCTCCTCAGTGGGAAGCTCTTCAAAACATCCATCCTACGTGAAAAGCAATGTATAAATTCAAATTTGTTGTTACAATTGTAAACCTTTGACTTTAAATGAGTTTGTGCAGATAGATCCCCTAGGGAGGGCACAACTTGGGTTGGTACCATAAAGTACATTAAAATTAAGCAATTTTTTCCATTAACCCTTACCTCCCGAATCCAAAAATCCAACCTGCAACATAATTGGGTAGACAAAAGGAAATAATATTTTGTGATACAATATATGAGTAGTTCAGGACATGACCCATGCATGTGATTGCCAGGATGGTGCAAGGCAAACTGAATGGATCTTGGTTTTTTCCTCTAAAATTTCCGAATTCTTATAAAAGTACCCTTCCTATTTTGGAAGGAATAAACCCACTTCTTACAGAGTGCTGAGCCTTTGCAATCTCATCCGGTTCCCGTGCCCTGGCCTAGAGAATCTACATTGCTAGGTATTTCCTGAGATCTATTTTGCCTTATATGGGGAGAGGGGGGGGGGCTTTTCCCCGTGAAGAGTGCACATTCCATTCCAACAATCTATCTCTGGAATTTCTAATGTACTTGGGAAGCATGTAGTTTGATTTGTATACTCTTAGACACGGTGATGGGTTTCCGCAAGTGTCAGTCACCCGGCTAACCAAAATTCCCACCAACACAACTAGTAACAATAATAAACTTGTAACGATTTGAGGTGGAAATTAATCCCATAAAATGTAAAGTGTAAGAAGCATTAAGCAAATAAAAAAACTTGAATAACAAAAAAAAGGAAATGACCAAATGGATTCCCACAAGACATTGTATAAAACTTTGAACTTGAATGTGAGGGACATTACCTTAACACTTCTAGCTGTGCAGAGGGCAACCTGTTTTGTTTTGAGGTGAAGAGCAATTATGTTGTTCTTTCTGTAGGTGTTGTTCTAGGTTTTGTGGGTGGCTTTGCTTCTCATCGCTCACAAAACAGTCACTCCATTTGACAGTACATCCTGTTTAGTGCTTTGAGACATCTTCCTGACGTGAAAGACGCTATATCAAATGTAAGGAATATTGCTTGGGATGACTTGCTGTCTAGACTGATAGCTGATGAATTCTTTACCTTCTTTGTCACTCTGTAGGGTTGAAGGAATGACATGTTCCATGAAAATGTGCTTTTCAGATAGGAAGACACTGGTTTTGTTAATCAACAAGAAATGGACTGCAGCCCGTTCTCTAAAAATGTTAAGCTGGGCATGTAGGCTCATCTGATCGAAGAGCACCTCTTTGTATCAAGTTTTTTGCATTTAGCCTGGAGAGAAGTTGGCATAAACGGTGGTCTTGAATATTCATTCTTACAAGCTGGGAGCATAATCAGTGGGATTGGTTTGGCTCATAAAGAGGAAAATCTCATCTACACAGACTCAATGGACTTAATCGGCCTTGGGCTCCACCATTATTAAGTGCTCTGAGACACCGCCCGGCGTGGAGGGCGCTATATAAGTGCAAATTGTTGTTGTTAATGGCCTGTTTCTGTGCTCCCCTTGCCTGGATTCTAAGACTGTTCAGTGGGATCTTGCATATCTCGTGTGGAATGCCCTACTTTGATTGATGACTAAAGCTGAATCCATCTTAGCATTGAAAAGACAACGAGACAAATGTCTGAAAGAGAGAAGTATAAAAGCATACAGTGAAACGGCAGACTGAATGGGACTAAACTGATAGTCAGCACGTGCACAAATGGTGCTGGTAATCTCTACAGGTACCAGAAAGTATTTCTTTACATGGACGGTAATTAACAGCAAAAACAGGTTACTGTGAAGGTGATCAAAATTGGGTCACAGACTTGTTGAACAGAAACAGCTCGATGCTGCAATGGGAAGATAATTGGGTGGGTATTTCAGAAGAAGGGGCCAAAGAGACATCATCTGAATCTCTTTGGTAATCTTGTGATATCTTCATCTGTTGCTGCAAGGTAAGAACGACCATACAACCTGGAAACATGCACAAATGGTGTCAGCCCTGCTCGGGGTGGACAGTCCTGGCTGCCAAGACTACAGAAAAGTGTAGGAACGAATCTCATTAAAACAGACGGGTGAAACCAAATACCGAAAATGTGAACTTTATTGACAGCAGCACATTTTTAAAAAAATCTTGGATATGAAACCATCGGCAGACACCGCGTGGGAACTACACGAGCTCTCTAGTCAAAATAAAAAAATGACTAATCATTGCAGCCAGTTTTTTTTTCCACTTTATAAAAAAAATTAGAAAAACGTAAAATATAAAAAAAGTTGTCTTAAAAAGAATTATAAAAAAAGAAAGTTTGCAGTTTATAACATTATTGAAATCCACAGAAATTCCTTCATACACCAGGCACTTAGTTCATTACACAAGGCCTAAGCGTTGGCCAGGTTAACCCCTGGCTTTAGATAGTGTTTTACGTTTTACTGTAAAAAGATATGTTTAAGGCCTAACTTACATAAAATAAAACAAAGAAAAGCAAAACAGTACTGTTATGGAAAGACACATAATCGAGAACCTACTCAAATAAATAGACAGGATTCTCAGCTTCCTTCTACATTGAAGAGCTTAGTATAGTTAGCTTGTGATTTCTACAGTATGTACAACCCCCTGGGTCTGTACTGCAGCTCAGAGGTCCTGGGAGATAAATGCATCATCCAACGACAGCTCTGGGCCTTGCAATCTTCACCATCTTAACTCACGCCTCTCACTCTCTCTCTGTGGTGAGATTTGCTTTTTAAAAAAAGACCTTTATTGTGCTTGATCCTCAGCGTGCTGAAGCAGAAAAAAAAGTCCGTCACCCAGCTACTTGACCATTCATTACAGAGGAGTCGGTTCTTTAGCGGCTTCCGGATGAGATGTAGTACGTAGTGTGATTCTATTACTGTTCTTGGACTATTATTGCTCCATCAGTTGTGTCAGTTCGTCACTCCTCGTCTATTGAAGACACTGGGTTTGGAGGTAGCTTCCAAACTCCTGTACAGGTCAAACTTAAAAAACGCTCCATGCAGGAATGTACACAATGATACTGGTACATAAAGCCCTTGAGAATGGTGCTCCATAGTACTGAGCTTAAGGCAAAGGTCCCTGGAATTTCTTTGGGGGGGAAATCAGGGGGCTTACAGGAAGCAAAAAGGGAGGATGATTATTTGTGTAAAATAAAAAAAACAATTGCAATACAAAACATCAGACACAATAGACCGCTCCAGGTGGGTTGCTGGTCTGCTTTATGTCAACACTGTACATGATTCTGGGAACAGTCACTGCGATGCTGGTCTTCCTCAGACCTTGCTGTCGGCGGGAAGCTCGCCAAGTGTGTTAGCGATCTCACTAAAAGAGGGACGGTCCTTAAGGCTTGTTGCCCAGCAGCGCTGCATCAGTTTGTAGAGTTTGGATGGGCAGCCCTCGGGTGAAAGCAGTTTGATTTGATAGTTCTTCACACCTACACACAAAAAAAACAGATCATTTAAATTAATAAATGAAAGCCATTCAGTCCAATTGATCTCATCCTTCCAGAATACCCATTGTACCCTCTTAAGCACAGACTCCTTGGAGCTGAACTGACTCCAAGGTGACATGCCTGGCAATGGAATGTCGGAATCGAGCCAGGCATCTGTGGCAGTCTCGGTCCACAGTATTCCAGGCGGGTCCACAGTATTCCAGGGCACTGCTGATGACAGCATAGCCAGCTTGGCTCATCGGCAGGACCTGGAAGGGCAGACAAGTCATTGGGAGCAAGGAGTCATCCCACTCAGCTCCTGTTAACTTTGCAAGCCAAAGCACAAACGGTTAGGGTGGTCCTAGCTGGATAAGCAGCAGGAAAGCTTGCCAGACAGAAATATCAATGGCAAGCTACGTGGTTTTAGCTGGTTAGATTCCAGCAGTTACCCCAATGCACACTCTGTGGTCCCGAAGCTGGGGCTCTTGTCAACCTGCGTCTAATATTTTCTGGAATTAGGTAAGCAGCATGTGTCCCTCCAGGAGAGTGTGTTCATTCCATTCCAACAATTTATCTCCAAGTGTAGGTGGGATGCATAGAAATCTCAGTTTGGTTTGGATACTCTTTAGCCTGGTGATGGGTTTCTGCATATGTCAGCTACCCAGTTGACCCAAAAAATCCTATCTTCCTATTATAGCGTCAAGTCACATCTTAAATGAGTCAAGCATACTGGCTTCAGCTACCTTCCTTATAACCTATTTCAGCTGTTGATTTGCCCTTCTCTATAGAGAAATATCTCCTAGTGGATATGAACATTTCCACAGCTCCAGCCTCCTGTCTGTCCCCATTCCATTTATGCAACCAGGCAAAGCATCAGATGTTGAAAATGTTCTCATGGTCTTAGCCTTAAGACAGTCGTCTTAAAATTTTGATTGTGCAAAAGTTTGGAAAGGCCTTAAAATCAGTGAATTTTAAAGTTTGTTTTTGAAAAAAACATCCGATTCCAAGAGGGACATTTGGGCCTCAGGTTATCAGAATTGATGCCTCCAAGCTCTGTAATAAATTGTTAATGGTGCATAAAGCAGATCTGTCTTATCCCATCTACAACTATGCTTTATCACAAGCTCAGCGCTTTGGTTTAGAGTCTTACTAAGTCAGGAAGATTAGACCAAATTGCAGTGGGTTTGAATCCACGGGAAGGCTACAGACCTGGGATCAGCACCATTATCCTCACAACTACTTGAAGTAACCGTTCTTTCACCACAAAAGGCAATGTGAAAGCAAGTAGAGCAGCCTGAGGGGTTCCAATACTGATTCTTCTACTTAGGGCTGAAACTTCATTTCCGCTAATGTGAGGAGAGGCTGGGAAATATCTTGGAAAAGTGCATTCTACTCTTACTGCAACTTAACTGGTACTCCCCAAACAAATGAGGTTAATGAGGTTTTAACAAATGAGGTTAAAAGGACTCTTAGTACTAAAAGATGAACCTAGGAATAGCGCCATCTACTGGTTCACAGCAGTAATGACACCTCAACAGTATATCAAAAAAATGCTGTTTGTAGCGACGGCCTGCATTTATATAACACCCTTCTTCATGTAGGATAAATTCTGAGGGCTTTACAATGACTGGGTCGAAGGAGAGATGTGGGGGAAGGTACAAGTGACCATCAGAGAGATTGAAAAACTAGGTGTGAAGGCAGGACTTGAAGACAGATAGAAACGGATTGAGACAAAGGGGTAGTGGAGGGAGTTCCATAGATTAGGGGTATTTTAAAGTGGTAGCAGCGTGGATAGGGCAACACTTGCAGCAAGCCTCAGTTATCTGAGTAGAGGGGACAAGTAGTGGAGTAGGAGGAGATCAGAGAGTGCTAGGGCTTGAAGGGATTTATTGTGGAGGGCGAGGACCTTGAAATAGATTTACTGGGACACAGGAAGATAGTGGAGCCGGCAAGGACTGACTGGGTGATGGACAATGCAGGGTTCAGACTAATAAAATCAACAGTGACTCAGAGAACTTCACAGAAACTGCCAAGTGCAGTGACTTTTGTAAGCAAACATGGCAGCCAATGTTCAGATCCAACACTGGTGGTGGTTTTCGATCTCAGCCACACCAAAACCAGGAGAAGGACAAGTGAACACAACTTACATTTATGCAGCACCTTTCATGCAAAAGAAATATCTTAAAGCACTTTACAGAAATGAGGTTAATGTTGTTATGGAGATAAATATGCCAGACAACCTGCACCAGCAACATCTCACAAGCAATGAGATGACAAGTCGTAAAGTTGATTTTTTGGGAGGAATTTTGGGGAGGACTCAGGACAAATTGTACTGATATTTAATTTTTAGAGACATAAAAAAAATGCAAGATGCTCTACTCTTCACAAAACCCACACAAATGTAAAAGCAACAAATTGTGAGATACCTGTTAATACTTCATCATCGCTTTGTTTGGAGAATGGCAACTCTCCCTGTGAGAAGACCTCCCACATCAGGACCCCGAAAGACCACACGTCAGACTTGGTGGAGAAATCGTCCTCAAATACGGCTTCGGCTGGCATCCAGCGCAGTGGAATCCATGCTTGACGGAAATGGTAGTACTCACTAAAAAAACAGGCACAGTAATCATTGTAACAACAAATTACACTTCAATAGCACCTTTCATGTCGGGAGGACGTCGCAAGGCGCTGGACAGTAAAGGATTTGGACCTGTGCTGGGGTTTGAGATCAGGAGTGGAGGGCCGGGATACGAAGCTGACCAAAGGCACGGTCGAAGAGGAGGGTCTTGAGATGGACCTTGAAGGAAGCGGGTGAGGCGAAGGGACTGTGGGCTGGAGGTCCAAAGGGTGGAGCCAGAAAGGTAACCACGGCAGGAACAATAATCCTTTTTGATTCAGTGACGATAATGTTGAAAACCCTCAAAGCGCTTCAATTGCAGTGACTGTATTTATAGGCAAACACACCAGTCAATTATGTACTGCAAGGTCCCACAAACAGCCATGAAGTGAATGACAAATTGCCTATTGCTGACAGGACACCAACTAGTGTGGTGGGAACTAACAACTCCTTGAACAGGGAGACAGGACTTTGGATTAACTTCTTATCCAAAGGACAGCATCTCTGACAATGCAGCCCTTCCCCAGTCCTGCACTGTGCATGTCAGCTCAGTCTGACATGAGGCTTGAGGCCCCAACCTTCAGAGTTGGTGAGAGTCTCATTGACTGAGCCAAGCTGACACATTGTTCTTTGTGATGTACATTGAGGTCTGGCATAATGTTAGAGCATGCATTGAAGTTCACTGCCTACTTGTACAGAGAACAGCAAGGTTCAGTTTATTCAGAGCCAAGAACAGGAGGTAGCCTGGCAAGCCACACCATGAAGTCAGCATCTTGTGAGCACAGATACACTAAAACCCAAGCTAGCCAGACTAATGGGGGGAGATCCCATCCTCCGCAATCGAATTTCCAGCTAACCGTAACGGTATTGGCATTTACCAATGTTTTTCCAGCGTCGGCTTTTCTCAGTGTCAAAAAATCTAGTAAATGCCAATACATTGTAATTGTTTGAATCCTGAGAGCAGAAGAAAGAATAAGCTACCTTCTCCTTCGGGATTCAAACTGAATCAATGTCGATATCCCTGACCACTGAATGCCAGTGAGCACAGTGAGGAGGGAGTGCGCACACTGGTAGAGTGGGCCGCTGGGAGTCTGTCTGTAAGAGCATGGACCCGTAGATTTTTTTTAATGTTTCCCTTTCGGGCCCCTTCCAGCTAGCCAAGTTACCTGGAGTCTGGTAAGCCAAGGGGTTACTGTAATGGCAAAGATTTACAAATACACAATAAAAGTTACTAAAAATTATCAGACTCCACTCATTTTTACTGAAAAGCACTTCAGCTTTGAGACTGTAGGTAATAGCATCAAACCTGAATTGCAGATGACCAATGCTACAGTCTTTGCATTGCAGCATCAAATTATTTCTTAAAAAGTTCCTCTGTGGGAAAAATACTTCCTGGTGTATATCCTAAATTTCCCCTTGAAACCTCAGAAAATTGCCCTTTAGACATTTTGTACACTCAAGACATCTCATCGGCAGGACTTGGAAGGGCAGACCAGTCACTGGGAGCATGAATTCATCCCACTCAGTTCCTTTAACTCTACAAGGCGAAGCCCTATCAGCCCTACCTAGCTGGGCAAGCAGTGGGAAAGCTTGCCAGACAACGATATCAATGACAAGCTGTGCTGTTTTTGCTGGTTAGACTCCAGCAGTTACCCCAGTGCATACTCTGGGGTCTCCAAGCCTTGGCTCTTGCCAATCTGTACCTTATGCTTTCCGGAATAAGGTAAGCGGGATGCGTCCCTCCAGGGAGAGTGTTCATTCCATTCCAACAATCTATCTCTGGGATTTCCATGTGTAGGGGGGATGCATGGAATTCAGTTTGGTTTGGATACTCTTAAACACGGTGATGGGTATCTGCAGGTGTCAGACACCCGGCTGACCAAAAAGAAGCCACCTCGACCAGGCTGGAGAGTCCTCGCTCATCCTTCTTACACTGGGGATCAGGCTTGTTGCCCTCCTCTATCTCTCCGTACACAGTTCACATTTACTTACCGAACAGAAAGAATACAATACACAATGTGAGTTATTGTGCAGTCAACATAAATTTACTACAGTATGCAGGAAGCTTACACTGTGCATTTTATAAATGACAAGGGCTGAAAGAGTGGTTTACTTAAAGGCAGTCTACATATGTATACACACGCAATGCCTACCTATTATACACGTCCTTGCTCAGACCAAGTGCTGCTACTTTGACCTGTCGCTGGGCACTAATCAGGCAGTTGCGAGCAGCCAGGTCCTTGTGTACAAAGCGATGGTTCGACAAGTGCTCCATTCCTAGCGCTACCTGTGTGCAAATAGATACCTGTTGGGGGAGGTGGGGGGTGGGGGGGGGGTTGGATGAGAGGAGAAAACAGAGGAAAGGAAAAAAACAGCCATTTACTATAAGGTGACAAAGTGCACTACCGCCAGATGTGAGCGTTGTATGGCTGACAAACGAGGTGAAGCCCTGCACTAATGGAGCTCACAGCAATTTAGTGGTCCTGTAGCAGCCTGGGAAACCACTGAGCAGAGGCTTCACACTACCCCTCAACAGAAGCACTTCAGCCTGGAGAGGGGGAAGAGCAGATGTTAATCAGTGCCACAAGCAGCTGTCTCAGAAATGGGTGCAAAATCCTGAGGGTAGGTTATTACCTGGGCCCCTTTGGTGAGACAAGCTAGGTTATAAAACTTGTGGAAGTCTAGGTATAAGATTTATTTCATAATCCAATTTTTTTTAATTAAAGAGACCATCACTGCTGATGCTGATGAGAGCAGGTCCACAGAATACAAACTCTACAACTTGTACTTTATATCCTTTTGGTACGCAGTGTGCTGAAGAGCTCCAACAGCAGAGGCACTGGTGGGGGAGGTGGGGTGGGGTGGGAGGAGAACAGGGCCCTAGCTGGGCGTGCACAACCCAATCCCTTCATCATAATCATACCAGATCAACTCGTAAAACGTGCCTGGGGGCAAAATTCACAGTAAATCTACAGAAAGTCATTTGGGGGCAACATTTACAGGGGGTTCTGCAGTCAATCTACAGAGAGTAATTGGGTGCAGCACTCAATGGGCCTTGTACAGTGTTTGACTTTACTGTACATTCAGGAGCAGGGAAAAAAGTGCTGGAGAGAAGTTACATCAAGTTTCCACAAACAGAGATTTCTGTCCAAGTGTTTGAGGAGCACTCAGGCACAGACTTGGTGGAGTCTTTCAAGCATTTACTTCTCTGGCCCTTAATATACAACAGATTTATATGGAAAGCAGCAGCGTCTATATATGGAAGCCGAGAACTGTTAAGTCATAAAAGGAATGCCTCAGGCAATACCTCCAATTAGCTGGGTGACACTTGGAATGATTCACAAGAGAAACAGAGTGTTACCTTCTGCTTGGTACTCAGAGACTGAGGTTTGATTTTCTCCTCTTTGCCTTTTGAAATCCGGAGATACTGTTTCAGGTCTCCCTGGAAGACGACAGTGCAGTGAGGTTAAAAACACAGACCTGCAGCTGCTGCCTTTAATGAAAGACTAAAGATGATTCATTGGGGCTGCTAACAACAACTTGCATTTTTACAGCACCCTTCATGCAGAACGCTTGACACAGGAAATATACAGATCGTTTCACTTAATCTGTGAAGTGCTTTGAGACGTCTCAAAGACATCTATTCCCTTTTTTCTGAAGCCATTTATTTGCAGAAGACCCATTGACTAGATGATTGTTGACAGCTCCACCAGCCCCCATTGCCCCTCTACATTGCTTACCAGATCGACGTATTCGGTGATCATGTAATGTGGCTCCGCCTCGCGGCACAGGCCTAGTAACCGCACCACGTTATTGTGATTCATTTTACTAAACATCTCGAATTCCCGGCGAAATTCCAGTTGGAGTTGCTCATCCCGGGTGGTCAGATTCTTCACCAGCACCACGGTTTCTATATCCCCCTTGTCAATCCCTTTGGCTTTAGCTAAGAACACCTCCCCGTACTCGCCCTTTCCTGCGATTCAAAGACAACAAAACTTTAATAAGCCTGAGAATGTAAATGAAACGTAGAGACGTGGAGAGAAAGACAAAGCGTAGCTTTTAAAGAAAACTGAATTCACAAAAACACAGATCAATCACACAAGTGAGACTCCTGAAAAAACAGTTGTCAATAAAATATATCTGTACAATTCTCTAGCGCCTTTCACATTGGCAAAACATCTAAAATAAAACAAGAGGTAGCTCCTTTCCCCAACATTTGGTGCAGAAGCCCTTAATTATAAATTTAACCACCAATGAAATTGGTGTTAGGAATTTTGCAATGGGTGTTAACACATTGCCTAACTGTGTAATTAAGGTCACAGGTAACATGGTTAGCACATGGGCTTTTGGCCCAACAAGTATTTGAGACCCTTGTTATAAAGTGAGGTTTCCTCTGCTGATGTGGCAGGGTTCACTGTTGTAATGAAGGTAAAAAGTTAATAATACAATTATTGAGTGTGTCAGCGAGCATTGGACTCTCAACAAATTCACATTACTGCAGGGATTTCTGTCCAATTCCTGAAGGCAGCTCTCTCCCTCCTCTGCCCCCTCCCCAGCACAATTCTGTGGAGTCCTGTAGCTCAGTGGTTAGAGCACTCGCTTTGCAAGCGAGAGACCTGAGTTCAATTCCAGGCCGAGCGAAACCTTGGGCAAGTTTCCTTACTCCACACAGAGCCTAATAATAATCCCTCCAAAACCAAAAAAAACAATAATTAAATTGGTCATTTTCCATCTACGACTGTTTGTGGGACACTGCTGTGCGCAATTGGCTGCCGCGTTTGCCCACAAATATAGTCAATTCACTTTACAGTGTGTTCTGTGAAGCGCTTTGGAACGTCCTCCCGACGTGAAAAGCGCTATATCAAATGCAAGGATTATTATTATTATAATTCTAGCACTACATACCAAGGGTTGTAATTGTCTGTAGGTTTGTGCGAGGGAAGTGCAGTTTATCGTGCATGCTGTGGCGTTTGTTGGGCATGACAGTCGATAAACTGATGTTGTTGACAGATGCCTCCTCTTGAATCTCGGCAGTCAGCTGACCATTCTGCATTGCCCCACCTGCAAGTTCAAAGAAATTAAAGCCCCATAAAACACTCAAATCTGTACAATCATCTTTCCAGCACGATCTCCCCTATAATTTACCCAGAGGAATATTTCACTAACAATTATCTTTGCATTTGATACATCGCTATAACGTCTAAACATTCCAAAGCGCTTCAAAGATAATTGCTGTCAAGTGCAGTGACCAGGAGACACAGGATAGTGGCTGGACAAGGCAAGACACACTCAGCAAGCACATATCCACATAAAATATAATTGTCAAAATATATTTTGATAGGGATCAATCATTCGGATAGCGCTGTGATCACACAACCAGTACTGGCAAGTCTATGAGATGGATGCAGGTTTAACCTTGAGTATGTATTTGGTGACTGAGAATTACATTGCACTAAATAGCACATTCACAACATCGCAACAGAGGTTTGGGTGAGAAAGGTGCTTCATTCCTTTCAACTATCCAGAATACACACCTTCCCATCCATCACAGTGCTAAGCAGCTTTGTAAACAAATACATGCTCTTGCCTCAACCACCTTTCTCCATAACTCTAATCCAACTATTGATGAGGGAGTTTCTCAATTTCCCAAGATAAAAATGGTCATTCACTTCACGGCTGCTTGTAGGACATTGCTGTACGCAAATTGGCTGCTACTTTCGTCTTCAAATAGTCATTATTTTACAGTAAATAATAATAATAATCCTTGCAATTGATATAGCGCCTTATCACATCTTCGAGATGTCTCAATGCGCTTTGCAGAATATAATGTAAGTGAATTGACTGTATATTTTGTGGGCAAAATGCAGCAGCCAATTGTACACAGCAGTATCCCACAAACAGTTGTAGATCGAGTGACCACATTTTTAAAAAATAGAGGGATTAGGGGATATGGGGATAGGCAGGTAATTAGAGTTAGGTCTGAAGATCAGCCATGATCTTATCAAATGGCGGGGCAGACTCGAGGGGCCGAATGGCTTATTCCTGCTCCTAATTCTCATGTTCTTATTTTTTTTCAAGGAATTATTACCCCCAGAAAAGCAATCTGCAATTGACTAACAATCAGGTTCCTACTTACTGCTCGGTAAACAGAGGCGTGTGGAGTAAGGAAACTTGCTCAATGTTTCGCCCTGCCGGGAATCAAACCCAGGTCTCTTGCTTGTGAGGCGAGTGTTCTAACCACTGACCTACAGGACTCCATGTCAAGGACGTTTGGACAGAATAGTAAGGCGCTTTATTAAATGCAAGGATCATTTATTTGTTTGATGACCTTCTGTGTAAGCCAGTACCCATAGTGGGCAACATAAACAGTCTTTCTCCCCTCTCCCACGACCACACTCATCCTCAGCCACAATAGTCAGTAAAAACATTAATATTAAGAGGGAAAAGATGGAAAGTGGGGCAATCAGTAGCAGTAGTACAGACAGGGACCAAACTGCTTCCCTTTGCTGTAAATTCTTAAGCCTCCATCTGTTGAAACTCATGGCAGCACATTTTGTTTACCGTTCAAGACTTCCATTTCCGGCTCCTCGCCCTCTGGTGTTTTGTGCAGTCTCTTTGCCTTGCGCCTCTTCTTGCAGTAGAACATGAGGCCCAGCACAATGATGATATAAGCCACGGCAGCTCCCACAGACAGCCCAATGGTCTGGATCATTTTGTACGGAGTAGGAGGGTTCTCGTCCTCACCGGGCTCGAGCGGCTTATCTGTGAAAATTAAATAGGAAGTGGGGGGGGGGAAAGAAAGAGGGACAGGGAGAGAGAGAGGGAATTGAGATGGAGTTCATGCTTGGTTCCAGTGTTGTATGGTACAAATTCTATTTACAAGAGCACCTTTCATGTCGGGATGCCCGAGGTACTGGACAGTCAAGAATTTGCTTTAAAAAGAAACCTGGATCACCTGCCAGCTATTAACTGCGCTCTCCACACAATTCTTGTATTGTGGCACATCTCTGCGAGACCTGGAGAGTTTTACTAAGTTTCTCAGTTATTTTCCATCCCATCTCCTTCCACAATTGTCCTAAATAAAGCATTGTTTCTCAGACCCTCACCGTATAGCTCCCAGCTCTTCCCTCACATTCCTCCAGTAAAAATGCAGCATTTCTAAATGTTGGTCCAGAGACTATCGATCAGGAAGGTAAGTAATTGGTGGAAAATAATGTTTCTACTTGCCGCACCACAGAGATACCCCACATAGAGCTCGCAATCAGTCTGCATATACTTACATTTTTTTTAACAAAAAGGTCATATTCAACTCCCTTTTCTGAAGTGCTGCGTACACAACTTTAGAGACCTTCATTTTACAATTGAGCAATGAAATAATCTCCACTCACCGACAACATAAAGGTGTGCATCTCTGTGCTGGATGTTGCAGTTGTTGCCAGCGATACACGTGTACTTCCCACTGTCATCTGTCCTGACATTATAGATCACCACGGAGCCATTTGATAGCTTCTGGATCCTGCTGTAAGGCATTGAGGAACAACAGGTAGAATTAATATCCTTGCTACTTCGTATGTTCCATGGTTCAGGCAATAAGCTCTTTGAGACGTCTCACAACATTATAAGCTGCTGTATCAAGTGCAAGGATTACTATTATTAATCCCCAGAGACCTGCTAACTGGGCTTGTAACGTTTATATTTTATACTACAGATGCATGCATTGGCTCTGGAACTCTATCCCCCAGTGCCTTCGCCTTGCCTCCTCCCTTTCCTCCTTCAAGGCCGGTCTCAAGACCTTTCCCTTTGACCGTGCCTTCAGCTCCCCTCACGACTCTCTACCCCCTCCTCGTTCCCTCCCTTCCCTCCCCTCACCCTGACCATTTCCCCCCTGCTCGGGCCCTGACCCAACTGTACAGCGCCTTGGGACGTCCTCCCGACGTGAAAGGCGCTCTATAAATGGAATCTTGTTGTTGTTGTGAGTCATCAGATCACCTAGGGGAAGGGGAGAAAGGTAAAGGAAAGAGTGAGAAAGAGCGTGCCTTTTCATAGAACCTATAAAGTGAAACAGTCTCAGAACGCTTCCCAAGTAATTAAAGTGAAGTGACTTTTTTGCAGATCAACTCTTTTTTGCAGGCAAACATGGCAGCCATTTGCACACGCAAGGTCTCACAAACATCCATGAAGTAAATCAGATGAGGGAATGTTGGTTGGGACACTGAGAGAACCTCCCTTATCTTTTCTGATGGTGTTTCAGGATCTTAAACATCCACCTGAAGAACAGCCAGACGGTTGATTCAGTTTAATGTCCAGCTCAGTGACTTGGTCACTAGGACCACTGTGCACTGCAGCAGATACGGTATCTTGTGCAGCTTTTGGCCACTCGTTTATCCAGGGGTATACATTACAGCACAGAATAGTAGGACAGATTTCGCATAAAGGCTTAACAGTGCTGGGGTCATCAGGTGCCTCCCACACAGGGTCTGAAACTAAACTGCAAAGTGAGGGGTCTATGGAGAGGAAGACTGCAAAATCAAATACAACATTCTCAAAAGAAAAGTGCAAAGTTATTAAGTAAGCAACTGGTAAAAGTAACTGAACAGCAGCTTGGCCTTGCTAAGCAATCCACAAAGTACATAATAATTATTAATAAATAATCTTATAATAAGAATCCTTGTATTTGATATAGCTCGTCATCACGTCATTGAGACGTCTCAAAGCGCTTCACACAATATACTGTAAATTGAATTGACCATTTATTTTGTGGGAGAAACTCAGCAGTCAATTGCACACAGCAGTGTCCCACAAATAGTCATGGACTGAGTAACCAATTTTTTTTTTGAAGGGGTTATTACCTCCGGAAAAGAGATCTGCCAATTGACTAACAATTGGGTTGCTATTTACTACTAGGTAAACAGAGGCGTGTGGAGCAAGGAAACTTTCCCAAAGTTTTGCCCTGCCCAGAAATCAAACACGGGTCCTCTTGCTCGTGAGGCGAGTGCTCTTACCACTAAGCTACAGGGCTTCACATCCCAAATGTAAGTGAGCTTAAATGGAGAGCAGCGGTCAGTCCGTCCTAACCTCTGATTCAAATAAGCATGAAGTAGCCAAGGAAGGAAACTAAAAACATAACTGTCAGTCCAGACTGTAAGTTAGGAGTTTTAAGTGGAAATGTTGCATTGCCTGGACTGCCCTTGGGGCAAGTCAGATCAGTTTCAGACAGTGTGACTTACTTGTAAAAGAATAAAAATTGTATACATTGTAACCCTCGTCGCATTGAAATTTGTCAACGTGTTCTATAGTAATTACTATTATTATATTATTTGACATGCTCTGACCGTTGGTAACGTGTGGTACACATTAAGGTTCTCCCAAATATCCATGATTGATAAATTTAGGCATTGGTGGACAGGACTCTCTTTTCCAATAGTGCTGTGAGATCTTTATATCTAACTGAACAGGCAGCCAGGACTGCAGATTCAGGTCTCGTCTGAAGGACGGCCTGTGTGACAATGCAGCACTTTTCCCAGTATTGTTGTCCAGTATCAGCCCAAACTGGGCCGGGCTTGAACCCATAACCTTTTGAACCAAGAGAGTGCTAATTGAGCTTGGCAATACACAATTTGCCAGTCAGTAAATTAACCCAACATGCACCTCCTACCTCTGTGTGTTCTTTCTAGTGTCCAGGATCCTGTTCTTCACTTTCCAGTGAATGTTGGGTTGGGGCTCTCCAGTGGCTTGACAGTGCAGAATCGCAGTGTACCCTTGGTAAACACTGGTGGCTTCCGGCTCAATCTTAAACTTTGGTAAAACTAGAGGAGTCACAGAAGTGAGATCTTATTTTAAATAAATATGATTTATACTCATCCGCTCTAAACTCCATATCCCCATTCACATCAGTCCTCGTCAGGTTCCACTGGCTCCCCATCACAAAACAGATCCTTACACTTATCTACAAATTCTCAATCCCGTCCACGTTCTTCAGATCACGCCTGAAAACCTTCCTTTTCAACCGTGTTTACGATCATCTCCTCCCTCCCCCCGGCTCAGCATCAAGCTCCGCCTCTGTTAAGCGTTCTGAGACACTGCCCCGCATGAAGGGTGATATATAAATGCAAGTTGTTGTTGGCTTTATCTTACATTCACAAAGGGAGAAATTACTGTACTGGGAAATTGCCAAATGAATAGGAGCTGAAGTGATGGTTGACAACATGCACAAAGTAGACAAAGTAACTTTACCTGTGACAATGAGACGTACATTAGCCTTGATCTCCCCCTGCTGACTATTCGATGCAATGCAGGTGTACTTCCCCGCATCTTTCTTGGTCACCTTGATAAAATTAAGTGCGCCACTTTCCTGGGAAATGTGAGGAGCCAGGGCAGTTCCATCTGGGCACACAAATACCAGTTACTACATTAAAATCAAATGCAATTGAATAATCCATAACAACAATTTCAGTAGGTTTAATCTCTCGAGGACTTTCACCTCTTCCTTCTAATGGGGGGAATGTTTTCATGTGTGCTCTCAGGTATTTTATCCAATTGGTCATTATTCGTAACAGGTTATTCAAACACACACAGACAACCAACACACGCACCATTATATATAGTGACCACTCCACACTCTCTTTAGCTAGTATTCAGGAGGAAGAACCCAACTTATTTGGGGGCTAACATAGCACCTTTCACACAGGAAAAATTCTCTAAATGTTTTACAGAGACTGAGTGGGAGCCTGAAGTCATAGTGAGAGATGTTTTTTCCCATAGTTTGTGAAAGCAATGTGAAGCAGCAAAGGGGGCAGATTTAGGGAAGAGAATTCTAGAGAACAGGAACAAAGTGTCTGAGGAGTTTCTACAGTATAAAACCTTGGCTGATTTTTCCCTTCCTGACACAGAGCCACTGAGGTACATTTACCAATAAGGCCAGTAGGAGGAGCTCTTCAATTAAAGCCTAACAAAGTGGTACAGTAAACTGCAACACTATCCTACAATGGCACAGATCAATGGGATACAAATCATTCTTCCTATAGGGGTTCTCTTGGTAACGGGAACTGAGTTTCACCCTCATAAGAAGGGGTTACAAAACATTTGCGTCCAATCAAGAGTACAGAACAGGCCGAGGAATCCTGACAGTTCTCACCAGTTTTCACCCATCTGACGGTGGGTTTCTCACGGCCAGTGGCAGAGCACTGGATGGTTATGTCCTTATCCAGCTCCATACACTGCTGGGGTTGTGGGGGAGGGGTGAACTTCAGGTTTTCTGCAACACAAACAGAAACAGCAGTAAGATTATGGGTAGCCCAGCACTCAGGGCTCCAGACAGCAAGAGATGAAAACCCGTTTGGGTTTTGCACAGCATGACCTCAAATCTACAGCATCACGTACTTATACAGTGCAGTGACAGAATAACATGTAGAACAATATATCAAAGTCCTTTACATAACAATGGGATCACTGAATAAGAAGCAAAGAAGGGGGAAGGACTGCTGACCAAATAGTTTTTTAAAGAGGATTTTGAAGGCAGGGAGAGAAGGGATTTTTATACAGGTGTTCCAGAGACCAAGGGCACAGTACATGACAATTCAGCCACAGATGGAGCTGGATGGAAAGAAGTGAGCAATAAAATAGAGTAAGAGGAATCAAGAATACAGGCAGGATAGGGCAGGAGGTAGGGCAGGATAAGAACATGAAGAGATCTGAAAGACAAGACAAGGATCTTCAAGTGGCTGGGGAACTGGATGCCCGTGGAACATGGCAAAAATGGGGATACTGAGCCTAATGTGGGAGGAATATGGGTTGCGGAGCATGATATTAGCTGGAGTTTTGAAGGACGGAGCCATGGAAACCAGCAACTGAAGAGAGTGAAAAAAAATCCCACGCAGTTACCGATAAATGAACCCATGTCAGAATGACTGAACAACTGGTTTAAGCTGTACTCTGCTGTAACAGACTGGTTAGGTAATCTAGAATATGCTAATGAAATGAATAACTGCAGGTGGGATGGACTCATTCAGGAGATTTGTAAATATAGCGTTGTACTTGTGCCAGCAGATTTCAATCTGAGCTACAGGAAGAGACAGCTGCTCATTTTCAGTGATGCATTGTTTGGTCTATAAACGATAGTCTGCAGCATAGTCAGTCATTTGAAGAAAATGCTGGGGGAACTTTTTACAGCATCGCCCCACACCTCCCCTCCACACCAGCCACCCTGAAAAATGATACTGCTGCAGTCCTATTCATTTCATTTGTGGAAAAAAGGATTACATTTTTTGCTGTTCGATTCAGTCTGCCTGTCTGAAAACAGAGCATTTTAAATTGTAAACTTAATGCATTCAGGTAGAGTGTAATCTCGCGCTGAGTGAAGTCTGCTAGGATGAAAGATTTCACAACTCACTGGCGGTTCTGCGCTCTGTGATCTCATGGCTTATTTAGTCAGAGAAAACTGCCAAGATTCCACTTACTGCTGACCCGTACAAGCAAACCAGCAAGTGATCTGTTCTCTATTGCTGGATCTTTTCCTCAGTGCTCAAAAACTTTTGTAAAAGGTTTAGAATTTGGCAAATTCGTGACCTGGTGTGAAACTCAATTGCAAAAGACACTTAATCCGAGCCTTGTGCTGGGCAAGTTGATCTCATAGGGGCAGTATCTGATAAATGACAATGGGCCCCCATTTCCCCTGGGTTGAAGAGGTTCCACACAGGATCAGTATCCAGTGCCCTTGACTGAAAAAGGTTAAGGTTTTTTTTTAGTCAGCTGTGTATCTGGCATATGCAGACACCCATCAGCATTCTTGAATATCAAAACCACACTAAAGTTGCATGCATGCTACCTACATAAGGAATTTCCCATGTTTAGAACAAAATGTGTACTCTCCCCAGAGAAACGGACTCTGCATACCTAATTTGAGAGTATTAGGCACAGATTGGCAAGAGCCAAGCTTGGGGGCGAAACCTAGAATTCACTAAGTCAATGCAGTATTAGGAACTTACTTCCCTGCAAATTGAAATAAAAGTGTGTATATTATATACATTTACACACAGCCACAGGGCAAGGATAGGATCAATATCAATGATAGTCTGTTTGTCTTCCCTCAGGTTCAATAGCTAAAATGCTAAAATTACCCACCTCAGCAGTTCTGATGGTGTACATCAGAATTAGCCAACTTGCAGCCCACGTGACTACTCTACGCTTGCGTAATGCGGCCCGCAAATATCATCCCTGGTGTAGATGATAGAGCTGCAGCTTACGGACCAAGAGCTCACTCGTTCGAATCACAGTCTGTACTGATGTTGCTGGTCTCAGCCAGGGGTGCGTGGGTAGGCTAAATTTGGTTATGAAGGAGAAAAAACAGCCAGGGTTCCTGTTACTGCTCCCTCTCCTGGTTGCGTGCATGAGTGGCAGCCATGTGGGGAGTGGTTGGCTCGGCTAGGATGTGCTCTACAGTAGAGTGGCCTGCCAAAACTCAATATGAGATGTCAGAGGGCAACCAGAGTCCATAGAATCACACCCCAGCAAGAGGAGGCACAGAGAAGCACATGCCAGTGAGAAGGAAACTAGAAAAATATTGGACGTGTGAATTTTTTTTTTTAAAAGACATCTGGCTGGTTCCAAAATAAAAAAAGGAAATAATCCTATTTTCTCTCACATCCCTCAATTGATTTCTTTATCAAATTAGCTAATTGTCTCTTGAATTAGCTGACACAAAGTAGCTCTCAGGACTGGAGCACAGCTTGAGGGAGTTGCTAGCTGCAACTAGTTCCTGCAGTAAGACTAGCAATAATCTTTACTTGGTATAATAACCCTTACATTTGGTAATAGTGTTTTCATATCAGAAAGATAATTCAAAGCTATTCATAGGACACACTGTAACTTTATTTACTGTGCGATTTGTGCACAAATGTGGCAGTGAATTTGCATACAGCAATGTGCCAAAAATAGTCATGAAGTGAACCAATTTATTTAGGGGATTATTGACCAAGGGAGCAGATAAACTCCCTACTCTTTTTTGAACAGAGTCATGGCACTCACCCAAACAGGCACACATTACCTCATCTTAACATCTCATCCAAAGAACAGTGACTCCAATAGTGCAGCACACCCGCAGCACTGCATTGGAGTATCAGCTTAGACTATACAAGTTCCAAGTCCCAACATGGGGCTTGAATCCACAATCTTCTGACTGAGGCAAGAGTGCTACCAAATAAACCAGACTAATGCACAAGCCAAATAAGCTAGGCTGACTCACAAACCAAATGAGCCAAGCTGACACTAGCTCACTACAGGAAGAAACAGTCTATCTTTCAATCCAAACCTGCTGCAAAATGATTGAAATCAATTACAATCCTCACCTCAACTCAGAGATAAGGTTCGGAAATAAAAGGAGAGCTATTGAGTCAGCCACGTGGGCTTATTCGCTGAATGCACAGACTTACCTAGTACCTGCACACGTGCGTATCCCTCGATGAAGCCGGCTGGGGTGCTGCTCTGACATTTATACACGGTTCCATCGTACACCTCTACATTATTAATGCGCAGAGATCCATTGTCAAACTCCTCAAACCGACTGTCCTGTAAATCCAGCAATACAATCAGCTGGGTCAAAACACGGGAGCAGACAGGCAGTCACTGGGTCACAAGATGATTTGGTCCAAACGTCAATGTATATTGCTTTTTTTTGTCATCTTTTCCTTACAATGTTCTCTGCTCTTCTGAAGAATTACAGAATGTTATGCATAGAAATAGGACACTATTGCGGATAAAGGGGTTAAGGGATATGGAGATAAGGCGGGTAGGTGGAGTTAAAATAGATCAGCCATGATCTTATTGAATGCCAGGGCAGGCTCAATGGGCTGAATGGCCTACTCCTGCTCCTAATTCTTATGTTCCTAATTCTTATGTTCACTTGCTAGTGTATTTCTTCACATGAGCAAATCTATTTCCATTCTCGTGCTCACTTCCCCTTACCCTTTAATACTTCTTTTTCTTGCATCGAATTCCCTTTGAAAAGAACTGATGGACTCTGTTTCAACGATGCTTTGTAGTAGAGAATTCCACAGTCCAACTACCCTCTATGATTTTGTTTAATCTCCCCTTCATTTGAGTTGTGATCAATTGTTATCTTTGGGATTGTTACGTCAGGACACTGGGAGAAACTCCTCTTTTCGAATAGTGCCATGGGATCTTAATGTCCACTTATGCAGGAAGACGGGACCTCGGTTTAACAACTCATCCGAAGGCACCTCCGACAATGCCATGGAATGTCAGCCTAGACCGTTAACTCAAAAGCTCAGGGTAAGATGTGGGTATGGAGCTAAAGGAGCCAGCAAGGACAGCATTTGAGAAGTCCAATTATTGGGGACAAAAGTGTAGATGAGGGTGCCTAAGTGTTGAAAGACAAGTATGGTTTTGGAATACATTCCAATTAGCATTAATCTGAAGTACCTTTGTGTCTTGTATCTCCAGGTACCAAGACTACAATCACTCTTGGAATAAATTGCCATGTGTGGGATGAGTAACAAAGGTATCCATGGATTCATCAACTAGAAACTCGTGTTGGTATTGTTAAGAGTTCAACAATCTTAATACATGGATGACTCAGCAACACACCCGACAAGAGCAAGGCAACACTCGAACTGAATAGAAATGCATATGCAATTCAAAGGGTTTGTTTTTGCACATTTTTCTCTAATTTTCTCTTCTCACCCTCTTCTGAAAGCATTGAATTTTTTCCTTCAAGGCGTCATCCTCTAGTAGCTCAACATCTCCCTACCTCTCCTTCCTGCTTCCTCTCCAACCTACTATCCACTGCCTCTGCTCAACTGCCTCCAGCTTGTCCCTCGTGCCCTCTGTTCCACCAGCAGTGGCCACTCTATCAGCCACTACGTTTCGAAACTCTGGAACACTCTCCCTGAATCCCTCTGCCTTGCCCCCCTTTCCCTCTCTTCAGGTAACACTTGAAGACCTTCCTCTTCAAATGTGCTTATGGTCACCTCCTTCTGGCTCGGCATCGTGCTCCAGGTCCCTGCATGAGGGGCGCTATATCAATGTAAGTTGTTGTTATCAGTGCATGATGACATCATTCTGCCAGTTCTCAGGCTGCTGTGGTAGTGCTGGGTAGGAACAAGGTACAACATGTGCGATGTTTGCTGACAGACTATACAATGTTATTCTGTGGCAACTACACAAACACACACAGAAGTTGCCGAGAATCAGTGATGTACTTACACCAGAGATGTCCACGTTGTTTCGAAACCAAGTCACGGTGGGAGTCGGGGAGGCCTGAGTACTGCAATGGAGAAATCCTGGCTTCCCTTCCTCCAACTGGCTGTCTTTTGGCTTGTCCACCCATTCTGGAAATGCTGTGAGAAATGCTCATTATAATACACATCGTGAACCAAACATCCCTGCCTCAATCTAACAAAGAATCCCTCCAAAATTCACACAAAACTACTCAAATCATTTTCAAAAGATGTAGCTTATGGCAGTTTTGTTATACATAACAAATAGGCTGACAGTATGGACATGAGAACTGACTTCAGTGCAACTGTTTGCTCTTGATCCTAGTTAACCTTGTTTGATTTACGTGTCAATACTGTTCAAATCTGTATAGTCTGTTGATACCAATTGGTCAAAATACCAGAGAGCTGCTGCTCAGCTGAGTAAGGATTGTCCTCTGCAAACTGAGGTTCGGGTCAGTAGAGGAAGAGTCAGGTTAGTGCTTGAATTCAGGGTGTTCAATACTAACACTATGACTGGCACTGCGTACCACCATCTCCGCAACATTGCCAGACTCCGCCACTGCCTCAACCCTCAGGCTGCCGAAACACTCACTCACGCATTCGTCACATCAAGACTATGGGAACTCCCTCCTCATCGGCCTTCCTAACTCTTCCCTTCACAAGCTGCAGATCATCCAAAACTCTGCAGCTCGTGTACTCTCACGCACCAGGCTCCGCGACCCCATCACCCCCACCCTCGCCCGACTCCACTGGCTCCCCATCCCCCAGAGATCCTCGTCCTCATTTTCAAGGCCACCCATGGCCTTGCCCAGTCCTACCTCTCTGACCTGCTGACTCCCTACAACCTGCCCACTCCCTCCGTTCACCGGGCTCTGGTCCGCTCCATGTCTCCTGCCCAACCCGCCCTACCATCTGTGGCCGGGCTTTCAGCCTCTCTGTCCCCACACTCTGAAACTCCATCCCACAGTCCCTTCGCCTCGCTTGCTCCCTTGCCTCCTTCAAGGCCGGTCTCAAGACCCTTCTCTTCGATCATGCCTTCGGTCGCCCTTCCACCTCTCTGTCTTACCTCACCCCTACACCATCCCTCCCCCATGCTCTGGCCCCGACACCCGACTGTTCAGCGCTTTGGGACATCCTCCCGACGTGAAAGGCGCTCCATAAATGTAATTTTGTTGTTGTTGTCATCGTTGTGTGTGTGTGGAGGGAGGAAGGAACAGGGTCGGGGAAAGCAAGTGCAAGAGAAAATAAATAATTGGTTCTAGCACCTTATCACACCTGGAGTAGGTAATTGTGAAGTGTAGTGATTTTATTGTAGGCAAACGTGGCAGCTATTGAGCAACGAACAAGGTGCCATAAATAATTATGGGGTAAATAAACAATTAATCTGGAGAATTTTGGTCAATATTCTGGGAGAAATCCACTTCTCTTTTCCAATAGCATCATGGAATCTTTTAACTAGTTGAGAACAAACAGATGGGAGGTTCATTCCATATCAATCTCTGACAATGCACCCTTCATTACTGCACTGGAGTGCAAGCTTGGACGAAGTGGCTCATATGGATAAAAGCTAGCACAGACCTGAGCAAGTGGCCTATTTCTGTGCTGTAACATTCAGCTATTCCACATCTCAAGGGAATATGTATAACTAATAATCCTTACATTTGATTTAGCGCCTTATCACCTCATTGATTCGTCTCAAAGCACTTCACAGGACACACTGCAAAGTGGATCAACTGTGCACCTTGTGGGGCGAACATGGTAAAATGTGAAATGAAGAGCCAGTCATTACCACTGAATATCACAAACCGAGGTAACGAACACTCCTTACTTGCTACAGTGATGCTCAGCTCCTGAATCTTCTCCCCTGCTTTGTTCTTCGCATGACACGTGTAAACCCGGGAATCATCTTCTGCTGTCCTGTTGAACACAAGATCGTTCCCGGCCTGATAGACCCGACCCTCAGCTCCCACCTGCGAGCTGCCCCGATACCACAAGACTGTGGGCAGTGGCAGACCCTTTGGGGGCAGGCACGTCACACTCTGAACAGTGTCTGCAATAAAGACTTTCGGACTGAACGCCAGCATATCTTCAATTTCTAAATGGGGGTGTGGGGGGAGAGAAAAGATGTGAATCAGTATTGAATTAGGAAACTACAATAATAATATTACTTGCATTTGATGTAGTGCCTCATTCTGTCGTTAAGACTTCTCAAAGCTCTTCACAGAATATACTGTAAAGTGTAGTGACTATATTTTGTGGGTGAAACCTGGCAGTTAATTGCACACAGCAATGTCCCACAAATAGTCATGCATTGAGTCACCAATTATTATTTTCTTTTGAAGGGATTATACCGCCCTCTGGCCTCGCATTGTTGCGAATTGAAACTTGGACTGAATAATCATGAATCCATTAGCATACGAGCTTGTCTCCCAATGGAGAGCAGCCAATTGCACACAGCAATGTCCCACAAACAGTGTTGCTGCGGCTACCCTTTTTTTAAAAAAAATATAAAAGTCAGCAGGGTGTGACGTGCAGAAACCCATCCCATGCTCAAGAATCTTCTAAACAAACTGAGTAAATGCATGCCACCTACACATCAAATTCCTGTGTTTGGAATGGAACTGAACAGACTGTCCTGCTTACCAAATTCTGGAGATTATGAAGTGCAGGTTGGCAAGAGCCCCCAAGGTTTAGAAACCTCAGAGTATGCGTTGGGGTAACTGCTGGAAGTTTAACCAGCAACTTCAGCATATATGGAGAAGTGGTTGGAGATGAGGAGAATCCACAACTAGGTCATCTCAAAAGAATAACTTGCGGTTAAAAAAATAATCCTTGCTCTTGATGTTGCATCTATAACATTGAAATACCTTAAAGTGTTTCATGGATGATTGCTGTCCAGTGGAATGACCATTTGTAGGCAATTGGGGGAGCTAATTTGTTCATGGCACACTCTTACACACCCATGAAGTGTATAACCAAGTTATCTGGAGGATTATACAGCACCCTTCACATATGAACACATTTCAAAGCACTTTACAGGGACAGTAGGCATCAGTGTGCTAGGTGTTTGTGTATAGGGGGTGGTGGGGGGGGGGGTAGGAGGAAAATTAGAGCAAGTAGTTGGATATTCTGGAAAATGCTTTCAGAAATTAAAACAGAGATTTTACACTCAATAGATGGCAGCAGTGCTTAAGCTTTCAGACCTTTCAGTTATTTGTTAATGAGGATTCTTGGATCTAATGTGTGTGGTGAGTCACTTAAGTCAATTAACAATGCAACAACCATGGACTTGACTAAAAGCCAAGAGCACAAACGTTTACAACTATTTTCACTTTGTTTTCCATTATGAATTATATGGGAATAAAATGTACAAATTGATTTTAATTGGTACTTTTAGTAATAAGTCAGCAGAGATCAATTCTGAAAACAGTTCACATAATTTTACCCAGCAACAAGCATTTGCAGAATAACAATTCCCTCTTGGACAAAGCAATCAGGACAATATTAAAGCACAAGTGGAGGGTATTCGGCCCAACATTCTATTTTTCTCTGTAAGATCTATCCATTTAGCCTTTCCTCACATCCTTTTCATTTCTTTTCTAATTCCTGACCAATTCCCTTTCAAAAACTATATGGATTCTGCATCAATCAATGCATTTAATGTCCAAACAAACCTTAACAATTCTAACCTCTCGCCTTACCAGACTGTTGGTTTAGTTTCCAATTTATGCCCAGAGAAATTCCTCTGCAAATGTAATGTGATGAAACACTTAACTTTTGTCATACAATCTGTACTTTAAAGAGACTTTTTCCAAAACACAAGATGAATTGTGAGCTGAGGAAAAGGTTAAATGGAACATTTTCTTCATTTTCTATTTCCAGCTTCAAGCCAGAAAGCTTAGTGTTGGGGGTTTACAAGTAATATTCCATACAGCGAGATGGATAGACAAAAATAAACAAATGTAACCATTAGAATGCTAAAGGGCAGCCTCCCTTGGTGTGCTTGGTTTGTAAAATAATTTCAGCACGCACACACATATACACACACTGATGCCAACAGACAAACCCTTACAATTACAGGAACTATTAGTTTCATCACTAATATTAAACAGATGGTGCAATTCATTAAAACAGTTTTAAATTAAAATAGTTTCAAACACTTAATTCTGCTCCCTCAATCTCTCTACCTATACTTTTTAGAACTTGTTTTTCTGAGCCCCCTGGATTAGGGACTCTATTTGGAAATAGAAACTATAGAAATTCCATTTCTCCGAGCAGTCAAATGTCAGAGCTGTAAAGTACAAAACAGAACCATTTACAACCTATGTATCCGGTCTGTCCATCGAAGGCAAGCTGGTTAAAAAGAGCTACGGGCTAAGTGGACTCGTCAGGATTCAAACCAAAGTCTGGCGCACAACAGGATAAAGGGAAATACAACCACCACAGTCTGAGATCCAACTAGGGACCTTTATCCTTTCAGGCTTATGCTCAATTTGCCGCTGCTGACTTCATTCTATCACAGACCAGACCATGTTAATTCTCATTTAATTTCAAAGCGCTAGAGACTACAACTGTAGGATGAGTGCTTTGTCCATAGAAAGTCTCAATCGTGTACAGATAATTTACACCGACCATGAAATTGGAAGAATTTCTTGTACTGGAAAAACTGCTCCTGAAAAGGATAGGTCTCTTCTCTCACCCGCCTCCCCCCATCAGAGTGTAAAATACATTCTTTTTTTACTTTTTTTTGCATCCGTTTCATACATAGACTGCAATATGATGCTTGTAAGACACTCCTCTGTGAACATACCTGCTAGGCGCAGTGAAGCCTCCAGCACAGCGGGCTTTCCTCTCGGACCCCGGCCAACACATTTGTAAACACCAAAGCTTCGAGGTTTAACATTGGTAAGCATCAGGGAGCCATTGGCAAGTACAACACTCCTAAAGAGAGGGAATTTTAGGTTATTTACATTTCAGATCCATACTTGTGTTACCAGCAGATACTCATTGTTTTCTATCACTCTTTCCCCCCCCACCACCACCCCCAACAAACCAGATCCAGGGACCAGATTTAAAAACTGCGAGATAATAAATCATTGCATTTGAGATTGCGACCTTCACATCTGGAGAACGTCTCAAAGTGTTTCACACGATTTACTGTAAAGTGCAGCTAGTGTTTATTTTTTTAAGGCAAAATATTTATTTTTTCACATAAAAATATATAAAGTTGTGTTTCACCCACAAAATGCAGTCAATCCACTTTACAATAATAATAATAATAATAATTCTTGCATTTGATATAGCGCTTTTCACGTCGGGAGGACGTCCCAAAGCGCTTCACAGAACACACTGTAAAGTGAATTGACTGTATATTTGTGGGCGAACGCGGCAGCCAATTGCGCACAGCAATGTCCCACAAACAGTCGTAGATTGAAAATGACCAATTTATTATTGTTTTTGGTGGGATTATTATTAGGCTGTCTCTCATCCTCACCTACAAGGCCATTCACGGCCTTGCTCCCTCCTACCTCTCCGACCTACTATCCCCCTACCTACTTGCCCAAACCCTCTGGCTCCGGTCTGCTCCACATCCCCCGCCCCAACCGCCCTACCATCGGTGGCCGGGCCTTCAGCCTCTCAGCCCCGAGGCTCTGGAACTCTATCCCCCAGTGCCTTCGCCGCTTCCTCCCTTTCCTCCTTCAAGGCCGGTCTCAAGACCTTTCTCTTTGACCGTGCCTTCAGCTCCGCTCTCGACTCTCTACCCCCTCCTCGCTCCCTCCCCTCCCTCACCCTGACCATTTCCCCCCTGCTCGGGTCCCGACCCAACTGTACAGCGCCTTGGGACGTCCTCCCGACGTGAAAGGCGCTCTACAAATGGAATCTTGTTGTTGTTGTTGTATAAGTTACCAGTCCAGGTAGGTATGAATTCCAGATACCCGGAGTCCAGTAAAGCCAGGGATTTACTCTAAATGCTAATCAAGAATAATCAGGAGAATGCCAAATCTTAATATCCTCTCCAAAGAATATGCAACAGTATCTGAAGGAAGCACATATAATGGAACCAAATACTACTAATAAAAATCAACAAGTGTGATGGTTTGCTGCTATATAGTGTGTCCATTATTCTATTTACATGGCTGACTAGGATACATTGTTTATTCCTCCTGATGCAAGTTAAAAAAAATTCCATGTAGCAAGCCAGCAAAATATATAGCAATATATTCTGTGAAGCACTTTGAGACATCTCAACGGGGTGATAAGGCACTATATCAAATGCAGGCATTATTGTATTCTGGGTATGGGAAACGGACAGCAGGAATAAATGTGTAGTTCTATGGCAACAGCACCACACACCATTTACCAGAATGGCTCTTGCCAGTCTACACCAAATACTCTCCAGGACTATCCTTCTTGGGGGGTGGGGGAGGTAAGCGGGGTCTTCTTAGAGCTCAACTTGCTCCAAGGTGACATATCTGGCAACGGAATGTCAGAATCAAGCCAGCCCTATATGGCGGTCTAGGTAGTCCGCTCGCCAGGGAGGTCCTCAGTATTATAGGGCACTGCTGATGACAACACAGCCAGCCTGGTTCATCAGCAGAACATGGCAAGTTATGCTATTTTAGCTGGTTAGACTCCAGCAGTTACTCCAAATGCACACTCTGGAGTCCCCAAGCCTTGGCTCGTGATAACCTACACATGATAGTTTGGCCGAATTAGGTAAGCGGGATGCGTCCCTCCAGGGAGACACTGAGCATTCCATTCCAACAATCTATCTCTTGAATTTCCATGTGTAGGTGCTTCTCCCTGCTTCCCCCTTTGCCCTCCACCCTCCCCGACCTCCAGCTCGAGTCCAAATCTCTGTCTGTCCAGCGCTTGGGACGTCCTCCCAACGTGAAAGGCGCTATACAAATGTAATTTTGTTGTTGTTGTTGTAGGTGGGATGCATGGAATTCTCAGCCTGGTTTGGATACTCTTGATGGGGAGGGGTTTCCGCATGTGTCAGATACCCGGCTGGCCAAGAAAAAATAGATAATCAGGATACATCCCACCATTGAGAGTGCACTCCATTCCAATACACAGAAATTTACACATGTAGGTGGGGTGCACAAAACTCAAGTTTTGTTTGGATACTCACTTGGATAATTATAGTGATGGGTTTCACATGTGTTAGACACCCAACTGACCAAAAATAAATTACAACGCTACTGGCAAATAAGATTGGAATTCTGTTGACTTGGTGGATTTTGTGAATTTGAATAGCGTACCGCCAAAAGGATAAATTCAACAATATTATCATGTGGGTCTGACATTAAGCTGGAACACTAAAACTAGATCTAAAACCACAAAACTCCACTGCCACCTCATTCCTTTCATTGAACTTATAGCAGTAGTGTTTGAACGGATCTATTAGCAGGTCTGTATTAGGAAAGCTATTGCCTCCATTATCTGTTGGACCATGGAAAGGGGAGGTTGGCAATGTGACAGATTTATGAAGTATAAACCTCTGATTAGAGAAGAGCAGGTGAATTACTCAGAAGTGCTGGGAGGGTGGACATTTTACGATCCTCAGTCCCTTACACAGGAACTCAATACAAGCCTATCTTTAACGGGATGGAAATGATCCATTTTCCAAATTAACATACGTTCTCACTTTGGTGTGAATCTATGCTGGTTGAATACAATGACATGTAACTCATCCAGAGAACAAGATTTCACAGCTACGTGTTAAGTGGAAACAGCTGCCTGACAAGGAAACTGGAATCAAGCACCTTGCCCCCTACTGAACAAATCATCTAAGGCAGTGGTGGCCCATTTATGGTATGAACCAAGAAATATCAATTAAGAAAATGTATTTTGTTGGCCGACCAAAAAGCTTGGTCAACACTGATCTAAGGCAATACCCAGATGCCTCTGGAAGCCACATTGTGAATCTTCTACCAGCGTTAATATTCCACCAGTTTTATATAATGTACCAAGCATCTCCCTGACAAACTCATGTGTCCTCAAATAATCTGACCTCTGGCACCAGAACAGGCAGCAAGAATTCCTCGCTTGGTTTTCGTTTTCACATCATGTTGGTATCATGAGGAAAGTGTTCAGGGACTGGCTGTGAGGGGGGAAGATGGCTCCCTTTGCACTCTACATGTTCTAGATAACGGTTGACCGTAAGCACGGTCAAAAAGGAAGATTTTCAGGCAGGATTTGAAAAAGTGGAGAGAGGGGGCAAGGTGGAGGGACTGAGGGAGTGTTCCACAGTTTTGGGCCATGGTGGCTGAAAGTGCGACTTCCAATAGTGGAGCGGAAGGTGTGAAGGACAAGCAGGAGGCCAGTGCCAGTCAAGCGGAGGCACTGTGTGGTCGATTGGAGAGTGAGGGGGTCGGAGAGGTAGGGAGGTGCAAGGGAGTGAATGGATTTGAACACGATTGTGAGGATCTTGAAGTCGATCCGTTCGGTGATGGGGAGCCAGTTGAGGCTGTCCATAATTGGTGAGATGGGGGTACAGAGTTTGGTCTGTGTAAGTATGCAGGAGGCAGAGTTCTGAATGAGCTGGACTTTTTGAATAGTGGAGCTGGGGAGACCGGCGAGGAGTGTGTTTTAGTAAACCAGGCGAGGTGACAAATGCATGCACAAGAGTTTTGGCTACATTTGCGGTAAATTACGGTCGGAGGCAGGCAATATGGCGAAGATGCAGGAAGGAGGTCCTGGTCAGGGACTGGATGTGGGTGAGGAAGGATAGCTGGGGGTCCAACCAGACGCCTAGATTGCACGCTGGTTCAGTGAGCCCAGGGGGATTAAGGAGTTCAGATCCGCAGAGTGAAGACTTTGATGGGAGCGAAAGAGTATGGCTTTCGTCTCGTCTACATTCAGCTGCAGGAAGTTCACACTCATCCAGGCCCTGATGTCTCCCAGACACGCTGATAGGACAACGGTGGACATGGAGTCGATGCTGGAGGAGACAAAGTAGATTGGTGTGTCACCCGCATACATGTGGAAGTTTACTCCATGTTTGCGGATGACATCGCCAAGAGGGATCATGTAGATGAGGAAAAGAAGAGGGCCAAGGATGGAGCTCTGGGGTACCCCACAGGTGACCGGGCAGGGGCAGGAGGAGAAACTATTTGCCAAGATGAAGTGGAGGCGGTTGGTTAAGTAGGCCTTGAACCATGCAAGTGCAGTCCAACTAAGATGGATGAGGGAGGAGAGGCAGTGGAGGAGGATGTCGTGGTCAACTGTGTCGAACGCGGCAGAGAAATCCAGGAGAGTGAGGAGGCAGAAGTAGCCCTGGTCAGATAGAGAGGACGTCGTTTGTGACTTTGACAAGAGCTATTTCTGTGCTGTAGGCAGGGCGAAAACCAGGGGCTCGAGGAGGGAGAGGTGTGACCGAAGTTGACCTGCAACAATGCATTCCAGGACTTTCGCAAGGAAGAGTAGGTTGGAGATGGCACGGTCGTGTGAGAGATTAGAGGGATCAAGGGTGGGATTTTTGAGATGGGGTGTGAATAACAGCGTTTTTCCTGGGGGAGTGGAACAGAGCCTGAGGAGAGAGACTGGTTGACCGTGTCGGCCAGCAGGAGGAAGAGGAGGGGGAGTTTAGTGACCAGCAGCTGGGTGGGGAGGGGGTCAAGGTAGCAGGTGGTGAACTTCATTGGGTGATTGTGATTGAGAGGGAGGGAGAAATGGGGGCAGGAGGGGGGAGTGGCAGGAGCCATGGCAGACGGAGAGGGTGGTGTATATGGTCTGGGTAGGTTGGAAGGGGGCATGAGGGGGGGAGAGAGAGGACGATGCAGCCAATCGAGACCGCTGGAAACCCCCACTGTATGAAGGAACCTTAGCCTTGGAGTGCTGTAGATCTGCCAATGCAGCATCCCTATTTCCCAGGTGCCTAACAGTTGATGTTGTTTATACTTGCTTTATACAATAAGCTTTTGCATCTGTTATAATAAACAACCAGCTTGCTTTCTGTTATCAATAACTAAACCCAACTCTATATTATACACCATTAAGAAGCTGTAATATAATCCTGTATTGATGTGAATCCATTATCACCCCGCTCTCCAAACCAGCTGTTCTGTTCAATTGAAGATGGCAACGTATAAAGCAAAACAACAACAACAACAAGATTCCATTTATAGAGCGCCTTTCACGTCTGGAGGACGTTCCAAGGCGCTGTAAAGGATTATCCTTGGAATATTAGTTTCTAATTTAATTCAAAAATGCATTTGAGCGTTTTCATAAGAGCTCAGCACTGGGTCATAGTTAAGCCGAGTATGGGTTAGGGTTGCACAGTATTAAGATATTGCCACCAGATTCTAATTATCACTGTTGCGCACAAAATGCGTCAAAGATTAAGCACTATTATTGCGGCAGAAGTAAAGATCAAAATAAATTAACTTTGCCACGATAACACACTGATTTACGTAATGGTGCATATTTAGAAGCTTAGAAACTTTCCCCATATTCTTTAAATGTTTTAAGCTCTGTTTCAATCCTGTATCCTTGACTAAGACCACCTTACTCCACCCCTGTCCTCACATTATTGTGAATTGAAGCTCTCCCAACAATGCTCTGTGGCAGTGAGTAAAGCGAACCATATGTTGGGATGCATCAAAAGATCAACAGCAAGCCAAAATAGTGGGGTAATCCTGCCACTCTACAAATCATTGATGAGACCATATTTAGGAGTTCTGTGTACAGCTCTGGTCACCATAATACAAAAAGGATATTGGAGAAATCGAGAAGATAGAGGAGGGCAACCAAAATAATTGAGGGAATAGAAGGACTGGGCAATGAAGAGCGATTAAGTAAATTGGGCAGGTTCACGCTGGAAAAGAGAAGATTGAGAGGCAACATGATTGCTGTCTTTAAGATTCTAAAGGGGTAAAACAATGTAGATCATGACAGGCTGTTTCAACTTGTCCAGAATAGTGAAACCAGAGGACACAGCCTGCGATTGAAGGGGAGTAAATTCAGAACAAATCTACGCGAACACTACGGTTGAAGCAGTAAGTGTTTATTCTTTCAAACACAGATTAGATAGTTTTCTTTTAGGAAGTAACATTATGGGATATAATACATAGGTAGGTTGGGACATATGTGCATGTGATTGCCAGGAAGGTGGAAGGTAAACTAGAAGGACCTTGATTTTTTTTTGCCCAGCATTTCTTATGTTCTTATGAATTGAAACTTGGGAAGAATACCTATGAATCTGTCAGTGTAAGGAATCGTCTCCCAATGGAGAACAGACATTTCTATTTGACAGAGCTGTGCTGCTGGGAGTTGGTACGTGAAGGACAGTAGCAGGTCATTTACAGACGAAGCCAGCTGTTAGGAGTTGAAATAACTTGTCAGTCCTGATGCAATCGGGGAAACTACTGTAACCAGCAGGCACTTAGCCAAATTTTCAGCCCAGTGGCCCTGTAGTCGCACATAGGGCCAATTGTAAGACCATTTCACTTGCTGATCGACGGTCAGAAGAAAACTAAAATGAGGCGCTAAGCCCACTTCTTGAGGGTCAAATGACATAACACAGGGGCAAAGGAATTTCTTAAAGGAGAAGTGCTTCTTCAAACTCCCACTAGGAAGCCAAATCCAACAGTGTGTGGAAGATAAGAGCTGATGTCAGCACAGGACAGCAAGTAGCTCCACGAGGTCAGCATCTATTCTAGTCCTGGATGCTAACTGGGAAGCACCAGTAGCTTTTTTTGGTTCAGCCTGCTTTCTGATACGTGTGTTAACCCATCACCATGGGTCAGAGGTTTCAAACCAACTGAGTGGGGGCTGGGGTGAACACTAACCGGCAAACTTCCCGCTGCTTGTCCAGCTGGGATCTACCCATCTGTTAAGAGCTTTGGTTTGCAGGGTTAACAGGAGATGAGAAGGAGGGATCTCTGCCCCAGTGAGTAACTAATATGCATCACCACATTACCATTACAATTAACATCTTCCACAGGTAGATTTGAGAATGCCTTTGCTGGTCAATTCGTTCTTTGGGGCGCATCTGCTTATCATTTTCCTTAGTGCTCATCTGGTTCATTAGCTTCTTTTATTTGGTCAGCTGGGTGTCTGACACATGTGGAACCCCATCACCAGTATCCAAACGAAACTGAGAATTCCATGCATCCTACCTATACATGGAAATCCCAGAGATAGATTGTTGGAATGGCATGAGCACTCTCTCTGGAGGGACACATTCTGCTTACCTAATTCCACAAATTATGTATTAGGTGCAGGTTGAAAAGAGCTAAGTCTTGTGGACCCCACATTGTGTGTTGAGGTAACTGCTAGTCGAACTAGCTAAAACCGCATAGTTTGATATTGCTGTCTGGCAAGCTTTCTCATTGCTTGTCCAGCTCGGACCACCCTACTCGTCAGGGCTTTGGCTTGCTGGGTTAACAGAAACTGAGCGGATGATTCCCTGCTACCAGTGACTGGTCTACCTTCCAGGTCCTGCCGATGAGCCAGGATCAGGAACTGGACTACCGAGACCGCCACAGAGATCTGGCTTGATTCCAACATTCCGTCGCCAGGCATGTATATACAACTAGGAGCCAGTTCAGCTCCAAGGAGACCCTGCTTACCTTCATTAGCTTCTCAAGACTACATGTCCCACACAAGAGTATCTCCTACCTTGAGGAGTTATTGATAACCACGTCATCAAATAGCCATTCCTGTACTGGCATAGGTGTGGCTGTGAACTGACAATGAAAAATGGCATCATCCTTCTTATTTACAATCTGATCCTGGGGACGGATCACAGGCTGTGGAAAACTGGCATCTGTGAAACACAATCAAGCACAAGAACAGGTTAAATTTGACGTTACATTTGGATTTTTGTCAGAGCAGCCGAGCTACCTCCTTAGTCTGAACACTGGTTTTAAAATTTCAGATTTGCAGAATATTAATTTATAAGCAAAAATTCTACATTGTAATGATTTGGCCATTGATTTTTTAAGAGTTAACCATGTTTCTGATTTAGTCAGGAAAATGATCGGCACCTTTACAGCTGCACAGAAAAAGAAAATATATGGTCATCCTACGAGAAAGGCATTCGGTAAATCCATGTTGTTGTAAAAGGGAAAGCCTGAATGAACCCAAGAGATTCGCAATGCTTTTGTGCTTGTGAACTCAAGATCAACAACAAATTACATTTGTGTAGCACCCTTCACATCAGGAGGACATCCCAAAGCGCAAGATCACAAATCCCAGAAGGTGTGATCCATTTTTATTCAATGTTGTTTCAATTCCATGTACAGTCCCCAAAGCCCAATAGACCATTCTTCATCAGAGGCAACAAAAAGGCCACTGAATGTCCATTTGTTGATGCTGTCCGATAACGCTGTATATCCAGCCACAAGCCTGCCTCACAGTCATGTACAGTACATGTACCTATCCCTTAGCTTAGGAAATACATTGCGTGCGAAACCCAAACCCCAGCGGTAAATGGTCATAATTTCTTCAACACAGGATAGATAATTAACTAGAGGTATAATTACCGTTTAGCCAAAGGAATCAAATGCAGTTGCAACAAATCTCGGCAGCAAAAAAAGGGAGGTGATCTTAATTCCAAAATTCCAGCATTACACGAAACGCCACAGTACAGAAGTGAATGGAGACTCCAAGTACAGTAATACTTCCCCTTTACCCAATTCATGCTCCACAAAACATAAATGGAACAAATTAGTTCTACTGGGAATCTGTGTGAAAAACTTAGGAACTCATAAGGGAGCAATTTATAGTCGTTGCCAACGTGTGCAGTCTTTATAAATGGCAGGAACATTCTTCCATTAAATAACCAGAATGTCAATTCTATGTCAGTGGCAGGTCTAAACTGAATATTGGATTTAAGTTCACGTACATATTTAAAAACAGGGCCTCTCATAGCAGACTCCAAATACTGAAATGGGGAGCTATTTAAAAAAGTTATTTGTTATGTGCTGTGTTGAATGAATGTTAGCACCTGGCGATCCTGAACTGTTCAGTATGGGAAAGCACTGAGCAGAGGCGAGAGGAACCAGGACAATCCATCCTACCTTTGGATATCCTGACACTTTAGTGTTAACCCTAGGGGAACACTGCATTCTCAGAGGTGCCGTTAGTACTTGAGAAGGAAAACAACAACCTGCACTTGCATAGCCTCACATTTCACATACTCATTAAATGTCTTTGCAGAGATGGAATGGGAGCCCGAGTAGGGTGGGAGGTGGTTGAAGGGGCATTCAAAGAGATGGATTTTTTGACAAGTTTTAAAAGCAGAGAAGGAAAAAAGATGGGGAGATTTCTTACGAGAGCTCCAGAGAATGGGGGCAAAGTGGTTGAAAGCGTGCCCATCAATGGAGGGTGAACAATGTGAAGATGGCTTCTTGTTGGATTAACACACTACTCCCCAAGGAATTACACAAATACACATGTAATGCGTTGCACTATGTGTAGGAGCGTAATATTGCAGAATATGGCTGAAGCAGGGCCAGCGAGTTCAGAAGCCAAACTGAAGGAGCTGTTGTTCTTTTACTTCAATCTTGGAAATTAAAAATATATGTTAAAAATGTTTTTTTTCTTAGTTTCTACCTTACTGTGATTTTTTTAAAAAAAAATTATTCTGCTTGCGTTTTCCCATCTGGTAGGAAAGAAAGACACTACTTATGCACAATAATTGAATCACTTTGAATATCATTGTACAGAGTAAGGAGTTAAAATAATCCTTTCTTTATTTTATTTTTGGACTGATGATAAAACACTTTGATAGCTTTTGTGATAAAATGTGCTATATAAATACAAAATTTATGAAAACTGTGCTTCATGTTTCTAAAAAGGCTGCAATATTGTTATCCTGTAATTAAACTGTAAAAAAGTGTAATTTTGCACAATTTTCAATTTTTGCTTGCATAATTTTCATTTGTTTTCCATGCATAATTCCCAGATATAGAGAGCAAGCAGGAGAGTGAGAATAGATTTGGTGGCTCATGTGGAAAATAACACCAGTGCAGATTTGCTGGTCTGAGTGGCCTGTTCCTGTACGTTTATATTGAAACTTGTTGGTTCTTAATCTGAAGGAAAAGACAAAAGAATAGAAATGTGATTCTGAGAGTAATGAGATTGAGATGACAAAGAACAGCATCCTCAGTCCTCACTTATTAACCTGCAAAAGTTGCTCTCCCTGCACAGAACTGTCAACAGCCATTGACCGCAGCTGACAGGTGAAATTAAGAGCAAATAATCTGTTGATGTGTTGAGACAAGTGAACTTTAATCTTGGAACCTTTTCAGAATGGCTGAGGGCATAAATATACCACCCGATGGAGGGTCGTGACCATTGTTTCAGATTTCCAGCATCCACAGTATTGCTTTTAACCCAATTAAATGCATCACCTTGCTGATGGAAAAAGGCAGTGGGTGGGGGGGAAGGAGTGGAGGAAAGAGGAGAAAAACTGGGAAATCACCATTTTAATTACTGCTGGTAAATAATGAGCCTTTGTATTACAGGTTTCCACCTCTCGTCTCGACTCCACTAAACCCATTTACCGAGACCCACCACCTGGTCTGAGACTCCCAGTCAGGAATACAGCTGCGCTGCCACATACCAATCCTACTCGCTGTTTGTAATGTCTATTGAACAAACGAGACTGTCAGAAACAGGTGGACTTCACATAGAGGAGGTCAAAAATTCTACACTGCATGGTCAATTATCAAGGATGACAAGAGATCCAATTACAACTCGGCATCCTGTACATATCTTAATGCGGTGCAGAAGAGGCATAGAGAGAGAGAGAAAAAAAGAAAAGTTGCTCTCATCTCAATCACCTACACCGATTTAGCTAAAATTAGGTTGTATTCCATTAACAGGTTGTTGGTTGTCCAACTGCAGAGCGTTTCTAGAGAAAAATACACAAAACCAGTTTGACATGAGGCAGCCAGTTACTGGCTAACAGGATGATTTGGCAAATTTTCTACTTCAGTGCAGATACAATATAACCCCATTCTAAGCTTATAACACTGGGTCACTGATGACCCTAGTGCCCTGTGGATCCATGGCTGGCTTAGGCAAGTAGACCGCGTAGCTTTCCTCAAGTTAACAGAGCAGTTTTCTGGATCACCACTAATGTCACTTCCTTTGCAAACCTGATATGTTGGGATTTTATGGACCCTGACTATCTCCTTATAATGGGGTTCTACTGTAGTATTACAGAAAACTGAACATGAACATACTTTACTGTAGTTTGGATCAATTTAGAACAACTTGTCAGGTAGGATGAACGTCCCAAGTACTTCACATGGAGTGGAGGGAGAAGTTAAAGGTGTTGCTAAAAGGCATCATCAAAGAGATGGGCATCAGGTTATTCACGAGAAGGCAAAAATCACTGACAGGACAGAGGGAGTGAGGAACAAGCAATAGACTAATCAGAATAGTAGTGGGTACGGGCAGGAGAACAGGCCTCTCCGCGATTGCAGAATTAGGAAGGGGGCTGTTCTATATATAGCAATCCAGACTCGTTGACTGAAGCCTTTGTTTTACAAAAACCTACCAATGATTGTGAGGGTGAAATTATTATTGCTGCAGACTTTCCCAACTGCATTGCGTGCACAGCAATAGTAAACACCGTTATCGTCGGGACTCGCACTTTTAAGAGTCAGGCTGCGCTCCTTGTTGTTGAATGTGTAATGGCTTGTGTCTGTTAACTGGCTGTCATCTCGGAACCACTGCCATGTGGGACTAGAGAAAAAGCAAACAGGAGTTATTACAATCGGAGCTCACAGAGAATCGGAAGCAGGGAGAAAAGGTTGGAAACTGGCATTTGCTTCACACAGGGTAGCTCATTTGGTTATGTTCCATGACCTTCTCATGGTAAAGCAATTATAATTGACAATAAATGCAAATTCTACCGCAGAGAGGAAAAAAACACAAGATGCAACATTTAATTATTTGAATTGAAATTCATTTCAACAATGAGTGATTATCATGTGTGTCTGAGAAGATTATTTAAAAAAAGATTTTCACACTTGTGTTGCTAATTGCAGCATCATCTTGCTTTAATTTATTGCTGCTTCACTATGTTCCTTTAGTCTCTTTGAATCTGCACTGTGAAATGGAGGTTTATGTAACTGTAGATAGGAGGTCAACGATTCACCAAGCGCCATATCGCTGTCCTGCAAATATCTTTCAGTATGTAAAAAGGACTTCAAAAGGGCTTTCTATCAAATAAACTTATTAAATTAAAATTTCAGTGTTAATTAAGCTTTTCCTTGTACATCAAGATCCTGTTTGCCATGCCTTACCATCATAATCCATTCACAAAAATACTTCATGAAGATAGCTCTTACCGTGGGTGGCCATCGATATGACAGCGGAGGGTGACTGGAGCCGATGTTTGGATTTCAGACACACTAGCTGGATTTCTCAGTACTACTCCTCCAGTTTCTATCCCTGGAATAAGTACATGAATATAGTAAAACCGAAAATAGACCACTCAGAGTGAGCCATAATGTCTTTCTAGAGGCACACGCTCGCTAAATACTGCTCAGAGCAAGCACGTTTCTATAGTACCCTCATATCCTCACGTAACATTGTTGAGCAATAGTGCATTTTTGTAAAGTCCTCATTGTCTCAATAAATAATGCTTAAAGCAAGGCACGCTCTTTTTCTAGATCCCTCGAATCCTCACTGAACACTGGTGCCACAACTCAAACTTTATTCCAGACAATTTATTTTGTATCTCAATAATAATCTTGTAATTGATATGGCACCTTATAATGTCGTTGAGACATCTCAAAATGTATTGTAAAGTGAATTGACTGTAAGGGTGAACCATGACAGCCAATTGCACACAGGAATATCCTCAAACAGTTATGGATTGAGTGACCAAATTATTACTATTATTTTCCATCTTGGGCATCAAATTGAAAACCTGATCGATTTTTGGATAGCTAGCCCAGGGGCATTGAGGTGGCAAAATTGCTGGACCAACTGAAATTAGCTAACCCAGCATAGACCAGGATACAACTTTCTGGTTTCATTTGCTCAGTCTTGCATTAACTGAAAGGTGTCTTTACCCACTAAGCCACCAAAGAGATATTTGCAGTTTTTAACTACTTAGTGGTTGGTTCAAAATAAAAGAGACAGTTTTCTATTTTACCAATCTTCAACACAACAAATTAAAAGTCCAACTCTGATCAGCAGTTATCTCATGAGGAAGAACATAAAAATTCTGACTAGAAAACTATTTGACATATTTTAGTGGCCAGCCTGGCTCAGTTGGCTGCATTCTTGCCTCTGGATAAAAAAAAGTTGTGGCTTCAAACCCCAAGTTCATTGTATTGTGGGAGCTGCTGTCCTTTGGATGACATGTTAAACCAAGATCCTGTTAATCTTTTCAGGTAAACATCCTCTGACATTATTTTGAAGAGCACCATTTCTCCTGAAATCCTGGCAAACAATCCTCAAGATAAAATTCATCATTCACTTTGTGACTGTTTGTGGGACATTGTTGTGTGCAATTTGGCTGCAGAGTTCACCTACAAATACACCATCACTTTACCATACATCCCGTGAAGCGCTTCCTGCTTAAACTGGAACAAATCCTCCCATAAACTTGGCATTGTAACAACTCAACCAGCATTGCAGAACGTACACAATTAATATTCCAGCCAGCGGGGACCCTGTAACCCTCCCTCTCCGCCAGCTCTTGTGTTTCCTTAAAGCTCGGATTACAACATGGCCACTTCTTGTGAACTTCGATTCGCTTTAAATGACTTCAGGAACAAAGCAATCTAGATTTTAATTGCCTGCATATTGTCTGCATTGTCTGGAATGCCACAGATACTTCTGCTTGTACACTTTGAAACAAAAAACAGGTTTAGATGATCTGAGGATTGATTGTTGGGTTTGAAGCAGCCCCGGTAAGCTACCTCAGCTGCTACTTTGCCAAAGGCATAGGCTTAACAATTCTCAAGTTTAACCCTTCAAGTACTATTATAACACTTGCATTTCATATAGTACCTTTAACTGAAACATCTCAATGTATTTTATAGGTATTTGCTGTTAAGTGTAGTGGTTATTGGGCAACATGGGAGCCAGTTTGGACAATCCAGGAAACTGGGGCACGGAAAACTCCCTTTTTTCCAATATTGTTACAGGATCTTTACTGGCCACTCGAAAAAGCAGAAGGGACTTTGGTTTTACATTTAATGCAATGGACTGCATTACCCATCCCACTAACAATGCAGTGCTCCTCCTAGAATTGCACTGGAGTGTCAGGCTAGACGACAAGCTTATATCCCGCTCTGTGGCTTGAACCCCCGCAACCTTGCGTACAAGTACAATAAGAGTCAAGTTAGCCTCAAAAATGAAGGATGGGAGGTTTCAAAGTGCCTATGTTTATGATCACAGTAAATCTGCAATGTCTTCAAATTAAGATTATAAATCAGGAAAATAATCAAAATCCTTGCATTTGATACAATGGTTTTATCACTTCATTGAGACGTCGCAAAGCACTTTACAGGTGTGACTATATTTTGCCGGCAATGATCAAACAAGCTAAATAAAATCTGCTTAAGCCTTACGATGCTGAGAAAATGCCCTTGAGATCCTCGTTGGAACAGTGTTATTCCTGATCTCAACAGAAGCACCCCAATGTAGAATGGAGCTAACCTTCACCTCTGGTTGCTGCTCACCAGCTGGTTACTGAACAAGTGCTGTCTGCTTCCTCTGTGATCAGTGCCGGACAATGACAATCTTAACACAGGAAACAAAACACCAAACACAATGAGGTACGGATGGAATGCACTTCACAGAGTGTGGGTGAGTGAGCATTTAGTAACTGCAGCATTCCAGGTCCAATTCGACTCGGACATTTCCTTAAATTGCACAACATTTTATGAAGTAATCAATTTTTACAAGCTTACTATATTTGTTGCGTTTTCAGGAAACAAATGTATTCACCAGTAAGCCTTTCACAGAATGAGACAGGCCCAAATTCTTCAAATTCCTCAAGTTAATGTTAAACTGTGTGTTCCATTATTTAAAGTTGCAATTGAAGGTCTAAGAGCTTCTCATCTTTAGTGAGGGCTCCGTGGATTCTCTGGTACAATATCCAAGTGCTTGCTTGTCTCATGCCTGGAACTGACACCAAACAGCTGGAAGATCTCATTTCAAGGACTAACATTTGGTAAATTACTTGGTTAAAATAGTCATGTGCAGAATTTCAGAGATTCCAGACTACTTTTTATTTTTAAAGGCAGTAATTTTGCCTCGATATCCTTTCTGAACAGTATTGGTTTCTGATGCATTTCTGAGTTGGGAATTCTTAAGTATAATTATGAAAAATTCTTAAATTTGATCCTAAACCCTTAATGGCTTTCCCCTCTATACACGGGAGCTAAGGCCAATTACACTTGCTCCAACAACTTCTACTGTCTGAGATCGGCTATAATACACATTGAACCTAAGATCTATTTGATCTATAGGCTCTTAACTTGTAGCATTCCTCAACAAGATTCCTTATTCACTGGAATTCCTGCACCAATTAGATCAAGTGATGGCATACCATCAGTTACAGGAAGGTGTCCCCATTTGCACACACGTCTGATTTCTTATCAGCAAAATCCAGTCTAAAAAGACCATAAATTTGACCCCTGATGCCATGCTTCAAACAGTGGCTTCACAAAAAACCATTGTGGAATCTTTAACCTAAAGTACACATTGATAATCCCGTGGCTTCCGAATGGAAATGAAAGGCAAGGTGGAAAGCACAATTTTGACCAAATCGGAGTTGGGTCAGAAATTATCAGTTTTAGCATTTAGTCCATTGGGAGTGAAAACACCTAAGCTTTGTTCAATAAGGCTCAACGTTATTGTGATACACGACTGAGAGCTTGCTTGTGAAATTTACATGCTGAATATATTTTGGTGAAATTTAAGAGTACCTGCTCAAGAATGCAACAACAACAAATTACATTTATACAGCACCTTTCGAGTCGGGAGGACATCCCAAGGTCTGGACAGTCAAGGATTTTCACCCGAGCTGGCATTGGGATCAGGAGAGGTGGAGGGCAGGGAGGGTGTGGGTGGGAGGGTGTCCAAAGGCTCAGTCGAAGAGGAAGGCCTTGAGATGGACCTTGAAGGAGGCAAGGGAGGGGGAGAGGTAAAGGGATTATGGTCCAGAGTTCCAAAGGGTCAGAGGCAGAAAGCCCGACTGCTGATGGTGGGGCAGGCAGGGTGGGGGACATGGAAGAGCCCAGAGAGGTAGGAAGGAGCAACTCCACGGAGGGCTTTGAAAGCGAGGAAGACTTATTCTAGCAGGCCTGTTTGGCTGCAATGTGTGATAAGATTCTTGCATTGCAAAGAGCTCCTAAAACAGGGAAACAACTCAAATCACCGAAAACTCACAGAAAACTGCTGTGAAGTATTGTAACAGTGAATATGTACAATACAAAATTAGATTTGTAAAGTGCCTTGCACATCGAAGGACCTCCCAAGGCCCTGGACAGTCCAGGATTAGAACCCCAGCGCGGGGAGGGAGAGGAGAGGAGCGTGGAGGGCAGCCAAAGTCACGGTCTTGAGGTGTGCCTTGAAGGAGGCAAGAGAGGAAGAAAGGCAATGGGGATGTGGCATGGAGTTCCAGAGGGTGGGGGCAGAGAGGCTGAAGGCCTGACCGCCTATGGTGGGGCAGGCCGGGCAGGGGATGTGGAGCAGGCCGATGCCTGCTGAATGGAGGGATCGGACAGATTGATAAGGGATTAACAGGTTGGAGAGGGCAAGGCCATGAAGGTGAGGACAAGAATTTTGAACTCGATCCTGCGAGAGATGGGGAGCCAGTGCAGCCAGGTGAGGGTGGGGGTGATGGGGTCACAGAGCCTGGTGTAGGAGGACACGGGTTGCAGAGTTCTGGGTGATCTGCAGTTTGTGGAGGGAAGAGTTGGGAAAGCTGGCATAATCAAGCCTAGTTGTAACAAAGGCATGTACGAGGATTTCGGAGGCCTGAGGGGTGAGGCAGTGGCGGAGGTGGGGGAAGGCAGAGCAGGTCATGGCATGGTTGTGGGGGAGAAAGGACAGTTGAGGGTCGAACAAGACGCCTAGGTTCCTGACGGGCTTGGTAAGGTGGAGTGTACATCCTTGGATGCTGATGCTGCCAGTGCCTGAGGTGCGGAGGCGCTGGTGAAAACCAATCAGGAGGGCCTCAGTCTTGTTGAACTGTTCAACTATAGAAAGCTAGCTCTCATCCAGGCCTTGATGTCTGACGGGCAGTCTATCAGGACATCAGTGGTCCTGGGGCCAAGGATAGAGACAGAGAGATAGTTGAGTGTCATCCGTGTGGAAGTTGACCTAATGTCTGCGGATGATGTCACCAAGAGACAGCATGTACAGGGTGAAGAGGAGAGACCAAGGACAAAGCCCTGAGGAACACCGCACGAGTCGGTGTGGTAAGCAAACACACTAGCCACTTTGCACACAGCAAGGTACTACACAGCCATGAATTGAATGACCAATTTATCTGGAGGATTGTTTGGCCAAAACACCAGAAGAAACTTTCCTCTCTTTTCTTTTGCATAGTCACTGATCTTTAACAGCCACCTGAACTGGTAGACAGAATGACACCAGTTTTAAAATTTGTCCAAAGGACATTTCCCTGACATTGCAGGGCACCCCAGGGCTCCATTGGAGTGGCAGCCTGGACGAAAAAGTTCAAGTCCTGATCCGAAGCGATCTGCGAGCCCAGACAGCCGAGAATCTCTCTCCTCTCCCCACACCCCCATACAGACAGTCCCTCTCTTGCACAAGCATAGGATAAAAAACACTCTTCCATAGAACTGGAGATTCAGCAATGACAACTTCAGCCATCACTTGCCATTGAGCAAAATGTGGATGGCTGCCTCGCTAATGGTATTACTGCTTTCTATAACTCTGTAGCTGGTTTAATTTAAGTTAATTGGACCCATCTGCATCATTAGGCACACTGGAAAAGTGAAAGCATGAAAATGGGTTTCCAGTTCGAATAAGCCCCCAAAGGACCAGTGATGCAGAGACCAGAATATTTCACATCTTCACGAGTTCATTAAAGCACATTTATACATTTCTTTAAAATGACATCCATTGAAATTTAACACCCTTCACTGTAAACGGCCACAGGAGTCAGTGCAGTCGACTGAATCAGGACAGCTGCATTGCAGACAAAGCTATTTCAGACACTAAGATACTCTGGTGATCTCCACTGAGTTTGTTTTCACAATCAATGAATGGGAGCTTTTGAGTCACAGGTGGCCAACTGCCCATTCATTTTTCAGGACAGCAGCTACATAGGTGACCTACAATCATCAGCAAATTTTAAGCAGGAGTCAGAAAACTCTACAGCCATTTAGTTTATCGTGTCCAAGCTAGCTCTTTCAAAGAGCTATCTATTCAGTCCACTTCCCTGTGTTTTTCCTGGATTCTTTAATAGTCAAAAATTTACATTCTTGCTAAACCTTTTCTCTCCACTTCCAAATCAATAGGGAATCCTCCCACTCAGCTCCTTTTAACTCAAACGGTTAGGGTGGTCATAGCTGGACAAGAAGCGGGAAAGTTTGCCAGACAGCAATATCAATAATAATAATCCTTGCATTTGATATAGCGCTTTTCACGTCTTCTCAACGTCTCAAAGCGCTTCAGAAAATATACTGTAAAGTGAATTGACTGTATATTTACGGGCGAAACGCAGCAGCCAATTGCACACAGCAGTGTCCCACAAATAGTCGTGTATTGAGTGACCAAATTATCATTGTTTTTTTCTTGAGGGATTATTATCCCCGGAAAAGCGATCCACCAAGCAACTAACAACCGGGTTCCTACTTACTGCTAGGTAAACAGAGGCGTGTGGAGTAAGGAAACTTGCCCAACATTTCGCCCCGTCAGGAATTGAACCCAGGTCGCTGTCTTGCAAGACGAGCGCTCTAACCACTGAGCTACTGGACTACAAATGGCAAGCTATATGGTTTTAGCTGGATAGACTCCAGCAGTTACCCCAACGCACACTCTGGGGTCCCCAAGCCTAGGCTTGTGCCAACCTGTGCCTAATACTTTCTAGAATTAGGTGAGCAGGATGTGTCCCTCCAGGGAGAGAGTGCGCATTCCATTCCAACAATCAACCTCTGGGATGTCCATGTGTAGGTGGGGTGCATGAAATTCTCAGTTTGGTTTCGATACTCGAGCATGGTGATGGGTTTCCACATGTGTCAGACCAGACACCCAACTGACCAAAAAAAATATCACTTCCTACACATTTGATACCTGACAAACTTGCCCTTCCAATGAATATTGAAGTAGATTGACTATTCCCTCCATGTCAGGATTTTAGGAATTTAATAACAACAACTTGCATTTATATAGCGCCCCTCTAGCAATGTAGCATCCCAGAGTGCTTAACGGAGCTAAAATGTGACACTGCCTCCCCACATACACTCGCAATTCACATTTAAGGAGTGTCTCCTTAAAAAACACAAAAAACAGCCACACTTACATTTGATATTAAAGGATGCTTCGGCTGTTTGAGCCTCCTCTCCAGTGACCGTGTTGTGCGCTATGCACTGAAAGCCACCACTGTCTTCCTTCCGTTCCACCGCTGTGAACTGCAGATTGCTGCCCTCTACAAAGCGCCTCTCTGAGACATCCACTGGCTTCCCGTTCAGCAGCCACTCAAACTCTATGTTCTGTGGGTTCTCCACTTCGCAGCGGAGAATGGCACTGCGTCCATGCAAAGCGTCCTGGGAATACGGCTCTTTGGTGAAGATGATGATGGCTTGGACATAACAAACTGTGGGGAGGAGAAACAAAACACGGGTATAAACCATCAGCAAGACTAGTCGTTAGTCATAAAAAAAAGCTTTCAGCACAGGCCCACGAGATTCAACAACAACTTTCATTTATATGGTGCCCCTCAAACAGAGTAGCAACCCAGAGTGCAATCAGCCCCTCATGTCTGTGCCACTGCTCCCTGTGTCACCATCCTTGATATCAATCCTGGCCAACACCCCTCCAAATAAATGTGATTATTCACCTTGTCGCTGTTTGTGGGACATTGTAGTGCACGGAACGGTTGCCATTGTCTACAAAGAAAACAGTCACTACACTTGATAACTGTGATGTGCTTCAAGGTGCACACTCAGCCAAGTGTTGAGGGTTCAGAGTGTAATGGTCCCCTTGGCTTTATCTACTCACAGCAGGAACAAACACCACTGTTCTTATGGCACACGTATGCCAATGGAATCGAGAGTTCAAACTTTGCTCACAACAGACACTAATCCACAGCCCGCCCGAGGGGCAGGTTTAGCATTATACACACGTCCACAGGTTGCCAACTTCATTGGAACATCAAAGCCAACAATGCTTTAAAACATTGCTCACATTTACCCACAGCATTCCCAGTTTTACCGTGAATTATTCACCTTCCTTCTTTACAAATAAGAGGATAATATAGTGGGACAATTATAAAAATCCTTGTATTTGATATAGAACCTTTCAAATTGTCAAAATATCTCAAAATACCTCAGAGGATATGCTGTAAAGTGTAACGCCTAGATTTTATTGATGTGGCAGAAAACAGACACTTACTAATATTCCACAAACAGAGTAGAGTGAGTAATCTGCCTCTACCACTCCCCTCTTCCTTGCTCCCTTTCTGACTTTAAATCAACTCAATTTCTTTGACCCCAGTTTGGTCACATTCCCCTCCTCCTTTGTTCAGCATCCAACCCCACCACTGTGAAGTGCTCTATAATAATAATACTTGCATTTGATATAGCACCTCATCAGGTCTTCGAGACGTCTCAAAGCATTTCACAGAATAAATTGTAAAGTGAATTGACTGCATATTTTGTGGGCGAAACGCAGCAGCCAATTGAGCACAGCAGTGTCCCACAAACAGTCGTGGATTGAGTGACCTAATTTTTTTTAAAAACAGAATTTTTACACCCCAGAAAACCAATCCGCCAATTGACTAGTAATCGGGTTCCTACTTACTGCTAGGTAAACAAAGGCGAGTAGAGAAAGGAAACTTGCTCAACGTTTTGGCCGGCCTGGGAATCATACCCAGGTCCTTTCGCTTGCGAGTCAAGTGCTCTCACCACTAAGCTCTGCGACTTCTAGCGCTCTGAGACGCTATCCTGCGTGGAGGGGGCTATATAAGTGCAAGTATTGTAAATGCAATTTGCTCTTGTAGATTTCTCCCTAAAACAATTGCACTAAATTCATCCAATACAAAGCTATAAAATGACTTGACAAAGATTTTTTTTAAAAAAGGGGAGGAAAAAATCTTATTGGGAAGATCAGGAGCCAGGGAGATTTCTGCATAATTTTCATTGCTTCAGGCACAAGCATTGCAATTAGTTTTGCAATATAAAACAGTTGATTAAACCAAATGAAAAGCTATTCCACAGCTTCCCAATGTCCATGCAAAGCTTGTCAAACATCAGTACCCAATTAAAGATCTACCAATTAACAGATCTGAAGACAGTCACCAGTTTCCTTGGGTCATTAGTGGGAGATATTGTTTCAAGTGTAATCTGTGTCAATCAACCTCATTTATACAACTAATTACCCAGATTGATGAAAATTGGACTATTTAGAGAAACAATACATCCAACTATGTTGAAAATCATGAACAGTCATTAAAAAGGCCTCTCTTACTAACAAGGGAGTAAAACTGCACCTGCTGTTATGAATTCCTGCTCTTAAGATCCACTCAGGTCCATTTTCTGATCTCTGCCAACACAGCTTCCAACCCAAACGTTAGGAAGCACACGAGAGTACCACAGGTCAACTTGCTCTCCGATTTCCATTCTGTCACCTCGGAAATATCCAATCCCAAATTATTCAGTACTTCCTTACAACATCTCCAGATAAGTAATTTATCCTACTGTCTTCCTATTATATCAAAGTTATATTCTCCGGGGGGGGGGTGCGGAGAGAAAGAAGTGAACAGGGCCCAGCACTTAAGGAGCTTAACAATGGAACGGCACGTTTGGCAGTGGAATATTGGGATCCAGCCCGTCCTCGGTGATGGTCTCCAGTCCGGTTCCTGAGCCAAACAGGTCCGTAGTATTCCAGGGCACTGCTGATGACAGCACAGCCAGGTTGGCTCATCGGCAGGACCTGGAAGGGCAGACCAATCACGGGGGAGGGAGTCATCCCACTCAGGTCCTGTTAACACTGCAAGCCAAAGCCCCAACACCAGGGTGGCCCGAGCTGGACAAGCAGCGGGAAAGCTTGCCAGACAGCAAGCTATAGGGTTTTAGTTGGTCAGACTCCAGCAGTACACCAATCTTGCCAACCTGCGCCGTATACGCTCTGGAATTAGGTAAGTAGGATGTGTTCCTCCAGGGAGAGTCTGTGTATTCCACGCCAACAAATAGCTCTGGAATTTCCATGTATAAGAAGGATGAATGGAGCTCTAAGTTTGGTTTGTTTACTCTTAAGCATGGTGATGGGTTTCTGCATGTATCAGACACCTAGCTGACCAAAATACATAGCATCAATTTGTTTGAGTCCAGTGTCCTGGCCTAATGCACCCTTGCTGGTAACTTGTTGCTGCTGCTGATCTTCCTGTGTGTAAGGAAATATTTCCTGGCATATTCAATTGTTCGGCATTTCTCTACTCCCATTAACTATCTTTTAACTCTAAGATCCTCGAGGAAACTTCTCTTTCCACAGCTGAAGAGCCCAAACTTCTCTCACTATTCCTTGAAGCCCATCCCAACATTCAGATTATCCTAGTGGGACTCTTCTGCATTTTAGGCAGCAACTTTATGTCATGACAACCAGAAATGAACACAGCACCCCAGAGCCAGATAGGATCTGACCCGAGCAATGTTCAAAGCAGTTGAACCATATTACCCAAAGATGTTGCAGTGTGCAGCCTTTTCAGCTGAATGCAGCACATGCTCAGTTCTCATTCTTGATCCCAGATGTGTTATGGAGCACATCAGCCAATCAATCACATACTTAGGGCTGGAATGTCCTTGCCAGAGGCTGTAAAATCCACAGCACTTCAGACTGCAGTGTCCTTGCAACGGATGAGTGCACAAATAGTTCTAACTGGAGGGCACACTTCAAACCAGCGTAACATCTGGCTGTAAAACCAGTTTGTGCTCTGAAAAGTGCTGGAGTGTTCATGGGATCAAGTATGAGACACAGCAGTTGGCATTTATTTAATGCTGCATTTACCAGCTGACAACCCATAATGAAAATAATTTGAATTTTCCAGGTTCAAGTTTACCCAATCTCCTGTTGTCTCCCAGTGTGGTGTCACCATAGGTATGTACAGGAATCGAAAAACACAAAAGAGCATCTAGGTAATTTTTCAAAAAATAATTATCCATCTGACCCTTCAAGTGAATTATTTAAGTGTTAGTCTGGCTCAGTCGGTAGCACTCTCAATCAGATTATGGATAGAAGCCCAATGGTGGGACTTTGAACTCATTGTCGAGACTGACATTCCAAAGCAATGCTATAATAACATTGCACTGTCAGAGGTGCCATCATTTGGTTAAGACACCAAATTCTTTAAATTTTCTGACTCAGATGTGAGTGCTATCAAATAAGCCAGGCTGACACCATCACTATTATCTGAATAGCAGTGGCAGACTGGCAAACAAAGACTGGAACCAAAGTCACCAGATAGTCAAGTGCTACAACAGGCCATTATTCCAATATCAGAAAGGTTAGAAGAGAACTATAAAATCGTTTGTGTGCAATGTTTAAGATACCATTGCTCAAGGATTCACCAACTTCCTGAAAGGCAAAAATCTGGGAAAACAAGAAGAAAAGCAGATGATTGAGAAGTGGCCCAGGAGCAATAGTGCTTCAACTGCAGTCAGTCGGTGCCATTAACAGTGGGAATGTAAAAGGAGCACATATGAATGCCAGCACTAGCATAGCATATATGTGGTGGGGAGGGAAAGAGAAAGACTGAGAGCGAGAGTGTGGGCAAATACTAAAGATTTGATTTAAAATCAATAATTTAAGAAAGCTCCGTATAACTGACTGAACAAGCCGATTTTATGAGATCCGGCCAGAAGATGGGCCTGTTTTATAGTCGGAACAAGGAATGTTTTAAAAAAAACACAACTAGAAACAAAAAGGATGCCTTTAGAGGATCACTGGGTAAAGCAACTCTATTGCATTTGTGTCCTCACCTACAATCCCAAGCCTGGAAACTGATGTTAATGGTCACCAACAGAGTACGAGAACCACATCAACAATACCAAAGCATATATATTATAATCCTTGTATTTTGATAGTGTCTTATATTGTTGAGACAGCTCAAAGCACTTCACAGAATGTACTGTAAAGTGAATTGACTGTATATTTGGCAGACAAAATGTGGCAGCCATGGTCTGAGCGCACTGAAAGGGACCTTGATCAATCAAGTGCTGGGGTTAGAGAAGGCATTCACCATTTTTAAAACATGCTTTTTGAAAAGCAATTAACATAAATCAGCTGCCAGTCTGAGTGCAAGGCCCAGGCAAGGCTCAGCTGCTGAAGCACGATGAGTGAAACCATACATTCTGCACTCTGACATGCCAGCCACAGTTTGCACAAATATGATTTAGTAATATGCATCTGTTTTAGTGCTGCATTTATTTTTTTTAAAAAAACTTGTGCTGCAGACAGACTGACCAGAAGCCTACTGTGACTGTAATAATAATCTGCCCGGTCGTTATACTCCACTGTTCATGATGTGTCTGATGCCCATGTCTGATTCTCTCGCTCCCCAATTGCACACAGCAGTGTCCCACAAACAGATGTGGATTGAGT